AACTATTTTGTCCGTGCAAAGTGTCGTACGATTGGTCAGAAGTTCGTTGCCGTGTTTTATGTGAAAATGGACTCGAACATCAATGTTGATAGTCTGCTTACACTGTGCGGTTTTTGTATGCTTGTCTGACAACGTGAGGACATGTGGACAGTTTTCCACAAAATAACTACTACAGCAATAAAACTGTGGAATGGATAAAAACCCCTGGATAGAAACTGAATCAGAGGAGGCTTGTCTGCAGAAAATTTTGCTCAATATGTAAATCTGAAAATGCACAATTGAGTGGCAAAAAGTCTGCCTATGTCTATGGATAGGGGTGTGGCGTACACTGAAGCAGAAGGGGAGTCGCCTTTCATACCGTTGTATGAAAAGTGTTTGCGAATGCAAATGGTCCGCAAACACGACTGCGTACCCTGGTTGCGGACGAGACTGTTGGGCTTTGGATGAAGTTTGGTGGAACTTTTTAAAGTATAGTATTATATGACGCTGGGGCTGGTTTATTGTGATCTGTATTGTGGTTTCTGCCACACACGGCATTTCGCATAGAGACAAACATCAAGTTTTCAACATAAATTTGTGTGTTTGTTACATGTCTCAAATGGATCTACTTCAACCACAAAGACAGATGTGCAGATCGTTTGATATTTACTAACAACATACATTAACCGCAGCTCTACGGATGACTCCAGCATTGACCGACACTGACCTCGGATAAAATGAGCATTGACTTGTCGATGAGGCCTCACTTAGCACATCAAAGTCCCAGTAATGGACAGACTGGGTCAATCAAATTCAGAAGGCAGAGTCAGCAAGCGAGCGTGCTTTCCTGCGGAGTGGAGAGCGAGCAGAGCTACCGCCGTCCACACGGGGGAAACTCTGGGTTCCAAGGCGCCGAAGCTCACAGGACTGCTAATGATGGGGTGGAGAGCAACTGCAGCGCATTATCTAATGAGGTTCAGCCATTTTTCATGAGCTGGTCTGGTGGATGGAAAACAGTGCGAAGGGATGCCCTGAAATATGGAGTGAGAAACTTCCTGCTCCCGGCCCCTCATGTGTAAATCATTGATTCTACGTGTTGAAAACTACTGACTGACATTAATGGGCAATCACAGGCATTGCCAAGTGACTTCAGGACAACGTTCTCATTCGTTTGGTTCATTTTATGCATGCATTTCGTCAAGAAGATCTAGTTTTCTTAAGAGTACTCTTAAAAAGGAGGAGGCATGTTTCTGGTGCTATATTTTTAATGTGTGGTCATGAATTTTCTCAAAAAAATTACACAGTAGGGACAAATGTACTCATCCTCCAAAGATGGAAACAGCTCTATGTCATCCCGACTTTTACAGTTTTATAAATTGTTTATGTTTCACAGCAGATACGTCTTATCACAACATTAGACTCTGCTTTTCCTTCTTTTTTTTTTTCTTTGCTTGATGGCTGTGCAGAATCTGACAGCGTGCCAGAGGGATGAGGAATTATTATTGCTCTCCTGTTTGCTGTCGAGTTTAACTCAGTTTGAGCTGCGTAACTACTGTTTTCCTGGGGCACAGTCTGCCATGAGGAATGCGCTCAAAGTGCCAGCCATGTGCTGCGCGACCAGAGAAGCCAGAAGGCCGCCAGCATTACGGCTACTCCTCCAAACTGAGCCAGGGTAACCCGAAACCCGGCCAGAAACTCCGAGGTGGGACAGTCTGCCTGAAGAGATCTGATGGTAGTCCAGGGAAGATGTTGACGGGGTGTCATGGGAGAGCTGTCTAACCTACGCCGGGGGAGGGGGGATATTTGCCAGGCGCCGGGTTTGGTTCTGGTTCGGTGTGTGTGAGGGTAAAAGAGAGAGGATTAAAGAAAAGACATTTTTGGAGAGCTGAAAGTGCACCTCTTATCTTTGTTCTCAGCTTTTGCCACATCACAACAACAAACTTTCATGTATGTGGAGAATTTTAAGGATTTTGTGGAATAAACTCGCAGCAAGTACAGTGGAGGAAAAAAAACCCATTGTCTTCATCAGTCACCTCATTAGTAAACCGAGTCAACCTGCGAGGAATTTATTCAAATCTAAATGGTCTGTGAAGGACTCAGGCAGAGGTATGTTAGAGAAAGACATGGAAAGAGTGGGAGTTTTCGAATTGGGACCAAAGTTGCAACATTTAGAACATTTTCAGCCGGTGCTGTTGGCTTTCACGTTGATCTGTGTTTGACCTGTTCCCTCCTCGCCTGTGGGGGCACTGCACCAAGTTCCAGAAGAAACCCTCAGAAGAAGACACTGAGAGCAACCTCCTTCTTCAGAAAATGGAGTAGCATCAGACTTTAGCGGCCGGAGGATTTCTCTTTTGTTTTTGGAAAAAGACTATGAGCCATTTCTCCCTTTCGCGCTAAACACACAGGTTTGTTTGGCTGGATTTACCCAGAATGCTGTGCGCTATAGTTCGCTTCCTGCTTTTTGGAGCGGTCTCCACTCCAGAGTTCACTTTAGTCAAACCTAAACCTAGGATTTTAGAGTTAGCTTTTTTTTGGTCCTCATCAGAGTTGAGTTGCACATTCACATCTCCCCAAACAAAATGGACTTTCTGGACAAGCAGACTAGAGTTTGATTAAAGCAAAATGTACCGAGAACACACCTGGCATGACACAACTCCAACCCTATGAAGACCGTTTACGTGCCGGTTCAGGAGAAAGTTGTCCTGAGTCACACTAAAGGGTTTGGATCAAATACTTGTCATGTTTAGAATGGCCCAGTCAAAGTCCAGACCTAAATCCAACTGAGAATGCATGGCAAGACTTACATTATAACCCTCACAAATGTTATCTCCCCAATCTGTCTCAGCTTGAGCATTTTATCAAAGAAACAGGCAAAACCTTCGCACTCTCGCAGAGCTGGTACAGATGCTCTGCAGAAGGACTGTAGCTTCGGCAGGAAGTGTTTCGTTCACTTCTGACTCAACGAGACAGGGCTTTTGCTTTTACTGTGAAAAGGTGCTGTGTATCCGATGGAAGCGGTGAGGCAGACGTCACGATCCACATAAATCAACATCTTGGATGAAAAAAAAAAAAAAAAAGATGTCTGCCTGTGCAGATTTTACCACATGGCCTTCGGCTATATTTAACGTCACCTCAAATGCTGTTTATTTGATGCGCTCCCAGAATAACTCCATGTTACCTGCAGGTTGTTTATGACAACGAGCAGCTCCCAGGCTTTAACAGCAGGTTTAACATCTGCCTGCTCCTTCAGCGTGATAAACAACCCCTCAGCGGGGCGTTCCTCTACATTTCACCTTGTGGACGTTCCACCCCACCCCACTGCACCCCACCCCACCGAGCCTCGGACCGCTCCATTTACACCCCCATTATCATTCAGATGAGACCGGGGTTCTGTTGTTAAAGGCCACGCATGACACCATTACAGTGAAAAGAGCAATTAAAAGCAAAAAGGGGGTTGACAAGAAACGAAGGAGGAAAAACAGAAACACGGCACGCGAGACGCCATCGCACCCAGAAATCCATTCAGAAATTCACGGCTTAACTTTTCCACACCTTGACGTTGCATGACGTTTGTGCATGCTCTTCCGAGAAATACTTCTGCAGGTTTCCTCACAGGGAAAGTACTCGCAAACAACAACTGACAGCTCTGAAATCAGACATAAACAGTCTGCAAGACCGAACAGAAATGCCAGCGGCCTGCGTTTCACAGCACAACTATGCATGCAGGCAAAACAAACCAGCAACTCGCTGTTGAAATTAAGAATCTCTGCAGACTGCGTACTGCGGTGTGTTTAAATTGGCTTTAAAGGGGGTCAGGCCTTTCTTTTTTTTTTCAAAGGGGAGGTTGAAGGGGGGGTTGCAGTAGAAAGCTATCCATGCCACACATAAATACCTCAAGGCAAAATTACCCATTTAGAGACCACAGGAAGCAGGGGTCTGGGGGAACGTGCAAGGACTTGCTGAACCTAAAGTGAAGTGGGTTAAAATCCGCTGGGATGTATCCAAAGCTGTGGATGCCATGCTCACATACGCACACACGCACGCACACACACACGCACGCACGCACACACACACACACACACACCTTTATAAATATCCAACCGCCTTCCCCTGGTATCAGGGTGATGAGTTCCTGCCAAATCGGCCAATCAAACTTCACCATATGAAGTGGGAAGAATCCTACAACACAGTTTGACTTTGGGCAGCCGGCCTGAGATATAAGCAAACTAAGATGCTGTTTAGCATCCTTAGCAGAGGAGCCCCAGAGAACGCTCAACTTCTCAAACAGGAAACCGTCAACGACGCAGAATGAGCCTCAAAACTTTACGAACAGAAAGTGTAAATTACGGTTCTGCCAAACAAACTGGCATTTATGGACCAACTTGCGTTTGTTTGCTCCACCTGGGAAATCTATGTGAGCCTCTGAGCACTTAGAGGAGGAGAGCTGACCTTTTGACCTTTACATTTCAACCCACCATTTCCCCAAACACGACCGACCGACCGACACCACACTGTTCTTGATGTCGATGGGAAATCACGCTCCTCTCGAGGCTCTGACGAAGCCGCGCGAGCGACGTGCGTCATTTGGCAGCGATGGCCGCATGACACGCGCTCGTCGTAGAGGCACAGTGACGGAGCTACCGGAGGACGGCGCGTGGAAGAGAAACGGCTGGTTTTAAAGAGCTGCTGACACGAGGTGAACGCGGCGTCATACGAGCAGCGGGCCGAGCGTGAAGCAAAGACTGCCGCGACAAAAAAAAAAACAAACAAACAAAAAACAACAAAACTTACTTCAGAAACGTAAACAACGCGTTTCCGATTAAAGAACAAAAACACGGCGAGCTGAATCTCTGTACAGTGAGCTGTATTTGTTAGGGAAAGTTCTGTAAGTTTTCTCTAAAAAGTTGTTTAAAGAAAAAAAAAGAGAGAAAAAAAAAAGACAAAAATGTGTCCTCGTGCGCAGGTCCGGAGGGGAAGAGGAGCTAAGACGCGCGCGCCGTGTGCAGCGGCTGAGTACTCACGCACTGCCTCCTGTCTGGGGTCCAGCTGGGAGCAGCACTGCTGGAGTTGGGCTATCTTCCCCTGGAGCCCCCTGACCCGCTGGCTGGTGGACGCCAGGTCGCTCTCCAGCTCCTGGAAAACGGAGCAGGCGTGTCTGGCCAGGTCCGACAGCTGGCGCAGGGTCCGGGACAGAGCCACGTTACTGATGGAGACCAGATCATCGAACAGCAGACCCTCCTCCTCCTGCTGCTGCTGCTCCACCACCTCGCCCGGGCTCCGATACCGGCACAGTGACTGCGGCTTCACGGCTCTTTTGGCAAATGGCATGTTGTTGTGTAGAGGAGGCTGAGGAGGGGGGGGGGTGGCTCAGAAATCCAGCAAAAAGTCACCCAAGTGGGGGCAGAAAGCTGCTGTGGCCCCTCGCTCCCCCTGGTCCAGGCGTGCGGAGCTCAGCTGCGGCTGAAGCCCCCCATCCCTTTGGTTCGTCAGGGAGAGGACTGGTGCGCTCCTCGCTGCTGCGCCGGGTCATCTGCTGCCCTGACGCCGCTGCGTTCTTCACTCCTCCAAACTGGAGGTGGTTGTTTTCAAAAAAAAAAAAAAAAAAAAGAACGGCAGCGGGTAAAACCTGGAGTGGGTTTCCAAGGGGAGCCGGAGTCTGAAGCGTGGACGTGTAATACAGAGAGATGGCAAAGACGCAGTGATATTAACTACGTCCAGTTCACTACGGAGAAGTTGAATAACCGTAATCAGCCTATTTATATCACAGGTTTATTAAATGTATTTACTTAAGTGCTGCTCTTTCAGTGTTTAGCATAAACCATCTGGGGAAAAAAGGGCTGAAACCCCTAAAAGCAACAGGAAAAATGCCTTAAGTAAAATGATTGACAGCAGCATCTCAAACTGAAACATGCAATAAATCTGACCTTAATTTGGAAATCGTTTATTCACATTCTTGAACAAGATATTTAATTCAAACTGAGTAATGAGTTTGATCAAAAAAATATTACTGAGAAAACTTGGTCAAGTAAAAAAAAAAAAAAAAAGTTAGGGAACAGATCTGGCCCAAGGCAGGTGCGAGTTAAGCGGCTGCTTAATGCCTCCACACCACCAGGGGGCCTCCAAAAGCACCAAGCGTAATGGGGAGAAAAAAAACTATATTTAGAACAATAATAATACGGTTCTCTCCGGCTTCCTCCCACAGTCCAAAAACACGACTGTCAGGTTCGCTGGTCTCTCTTTAAATTCTGTGTGTGTGTGTGTGTGTGTGTGTGTGTGTGTGTGTGTGTGTGTGTGTGTGTGTGTGTGTGTGTGTGTGTGTGATTGTTTGTCCTGTCTGTCTCCTTGCTGCCCAGCGACAGACTGGCGACCTGTCCAGGGTGACCTTGCCTCTTGTCCAGAACATTAGCTGGAGACGGGCACCAGCATTCCTCGTGAGCCCACTTGGAACAAGGGTGTTAGAAAATGGATGGATAAATAATACAAACCAACTGCGGGAAACTACTAATATATATTTTTTAGCATTTTCACACAAATAACAGAATAATTATCTTCCATTGGCTGCTGCCACTGTTGGGGAAATATTTGTAAATATTTGTAACAATCACTCTTGCTGCTGAGTGATTGTCAGCAGTAAGACCCTCCTCCTGGCTCTGATTGGTTGTATTTCTGCAGTCTGGAAATCCGTTGTTTTTCCTCAAAGATCATCTGTCACAACACGATTTTCACAAATATGTAAAAATATTTTTTTAAAACAAAGGTTAAATACACTTTCAAGGAGAATTTAGTTACTAATCCCAATTCCCACAGATGTCGGCAGTTCAAAGATTTTAAATACCAATGCTAAGTTTTTCCTCTTATTAACAGGAATTCCTTCCCTGCATTTTTTGCCGCCGGCTCATAGGCCTCTGTTGCCTTCACCTCCTGGGTGTGGAGGCCTGACATCCTGGACTGGGCCGCATTCACTTTTGCTGAATGAGTGTTTAGCTAAATCCCACCAGCTGACGGAGCCAGAATGGAAAGAGGTGGCGGTCCGTGGCCCAGCTAATGTCCACAGCAGAAGTGCAACCTTTGCAAAGCCCGGCTCGGGGACAAAGGAGGGACGAGAGACGTGGCGTATGTCGTCATCTTAGAGTAATGTTGCGGCAACAAAAGAGCAAACTTGAACACATAGAAGCTTGTAATCTACATTGTGAGAAGAGTTGGCTTCAGCGTTGATGCTCAGACAGACACAAAGCGTCAAGTCGCCGGAGTGTTTTCAACTTCTTCAAGCTACTCCAACACATTTTAATGGCGTTTCTGTCACTGTGGATTTGTGTTTGAGAGCCTGAAGTCTCACCATCTCCAGCTTGATTTTTCATTAACGGTAATAACCCAGGAGCAGACTCAGCTGGGGCTGCAATTATATTAAGCAGGCGTATACTTAGAGTCCACACACAACTGGCATGTAGTGGTTTCCCCGTGCCGCGCAGCTGTCATGTGGCAATGCAAAGCGAACACTTTTAAATGGTATTTATAGTTGAGTGAGAAATGCCCCCGGCTAAGCTGAGTGTTTGCATGAATACTTGCAGCTCTCCCGTGACGCGTAAGAAACAAAACCTATGAGTATGGGAGGAGACCAGGAAGGTTAATGCAGCAGGTAAATACTGGTTATAGTGCAGAGGAACAGCCAGCTGTCGCAACACATTGTCAAAAAAAACAAACACAAAACAAAGCGTCCACCCCTTACCTCTTCCTGTCGTCGTCTTCGTCGTTTCCACCAGCAGTAACGTCTGGTTGATCACATGACCACTCCGAAGGTAGCATTCCCATTACAGTTTTGCTAAATACATCTGTTTCGATTCAGCTGAAAAAGCACCCGCTTTTTCCGATTGAACATCTTAAACACAAAATCGAAATTTGTGTTTATTTTTGTTTGTGTGTGTGTCTCCACTACGCGAAATCATTTTCGTAATTTCAATTTGCGCAATTTTAACGGAATCGCAGGTTCTGCGACTTTTATGTGAACGGTATAAATTGTAACATTGTAGTAAACTGAAAAAGAAAAGTGGATATAATTTCACATTTGTCAAGATTTTGCTAACAATTAAGCTGTGTCCAGTGAGTACTTGGGTGTATAGCGAATTACAATGATGGCTTTAGTCAAATAAATTAAGTGGATTTAACACCTTTTTGACATATTTATAGTAAGCAGTTGGTTTAAATAAATTAAGAGCCTTTTTAGGTAAAAATGTTTTTAAAATTTGCTTAATTTGAAGTGACAGGATTTATCGTACTTTTTTAAAATTTATCATAAATTTGAAAAGTACATGCAAATTAAAACATTCCTAAAAATACAAACTGCTAATCTTTCAATAAGAAATTTTTAGTTTGGTCCAAACAGCTGCTGACGAGACTCCAGAAGAAAATCAGCTCATTTTAGCTAACGTAGGCAGAATGACGTTGCACGATGTTGATTGATGTCTCTTGACAAATAAATACATTTAAATTTGAAATATGGGGAGTTTTTCATAACAATGGTTGGAGCTCAGAGCTGCTTGTGCTTCCAGAAGAAAACTCATGAGATTTCTGTCAGAATAATCGTTTTCAGCATCCGACTGGAAACTCTTGCAGGTTCAACCAACGTCTGCGACGTTTGGAGAGACGAGTCAGATTTACACATAAGCTTTGCAGTGATGGGGGCGTGGAGAGACAAGCATTAAAAATAGACATCTTTATTGACTTTTCTGATTTGCATCTTGTCGGTGCATGTCTTCAGGTTATTTTCACAGACCAGTTCACAACATCTTAGCACACATGCAGTAACAGACATGCCGACGTGGAGCTCATCAACACCCCCACCGTCCTGTGAGCCAAACAGAACCAATGGCGGAGAGCGCGCTTTAGCTGTGGGCTCCAACGCATCGAGCGCATTTGGAACGTCGTCAGGAGTGACAGTAAAACTGGCATCAAAGATCAAAGATTACAAGAATAGATTAAAAAAGACAATGGTTTAAATCAAAAACAGAAACTTTTCAAGTGAATTGTGCAGAACTGATGAAAATCAGTTAACATTCTTCAGTGTGTCATTCTGCATTTTAGTCTCACATGCTCAAGGTTTGTATTTTGTTTTTGTTTTTTTGCCTACATCTTTTTCTGCTGTATTTATATTTTTAAGACAGAAAATGGAATCTGTAGCACCTTTATCTGCTTTATATTGTGTATGCCGGTACTAATGCGACGCCCTGTAAAATTTAAAAACATCATCACAGGAAAAGAACATTCAGACTCAAGGGAGTGTGTGCAAACTACTACTTGTGCTGCAAACGTTCACATGAAGAAACTAACAGGACATGAGAAAGGAAAGAATAAATTAGTCGTCATATTTTACATACAGTGATTCAGAAAAAAAGAAAGAAAAAAATCACAATGTTTATTTTTCTTCACGTCGATGAATCCAATAGGGATTGGTTTCAGAGGCTCCTGATTAAACAAGGATTCCCTGTTTGTCAAGTCGACAATTCGATTTTTGCTTCTAAAATATCTGAGCCCTTTGAGAGTTACATGGCCTTCATAAGAAAAACACAAACTTCAGCTTCAAAACGTTGCTCTCATTAACTGAATCCGAGCCGATGCGTTTTGACGCAGACGCCGGCTCGGGGCCCCCCGCCGCTCCCCTCCGTCACGTGGAGGCCAAGGGCCGCAGGAGCTCCAGCTGGGACTCCAAGGTGACTCTCTCCTGGTGAACCACCTGCAGCCAAACACAAGCAAGCATGAGCGCTGATCAAGTTCACACAGAACAAAAGCTCCACCTCAGGCACGTCTACCCCTGTTTGCTTTGTTTACCATGGTGACGACAGGAGGGAAGTCAAAAGGCTGCCTTGTTTGCTCCCTCATTAACCCACAGGGTTGAGCAAAGCGGAAAAGGTGACGCTGAGCCAAAAGCTCGCTTTGATGCGATGACAAATCTAATGTGGCGGCGATTTTGACAATCTGGTCCCGTCACTTGTTCATTAGTCCAGAGGTGGGTACGTAGCATTAGCTTAACATGTTTGTTTTTTTTACTCAAGTGAAAGCAAAAAGTAGCCGTCCCAGAAGTGACTCAAGAGTAAATATGAGTGTTTGGTAAAAAAAAAAAAAAAAGAAGTAGTGATCAAAACATCAGTTAGTATTTAAAACTTACATCATCAGATGGAGCAAGAATGTAAAGCCACTTGGAAATGTTGGTATTTTGAAGATAATAATAAAAGTATTTGATGTGAATAACAACTACAAAATAAAATTCAGGCAAAGGAGGCGTTTTTTTCCCACATCGATTTTTTTCAATGCAAAACTTCTGAAATAGTAACAAAACATTAACAAACACTGAAGCTGGTTCGTCCGTCTGGTTTCCAGAGCAAACATCTTGGTACGCTTTAGATCAGACAAAACAGACTCACAAGTAATTCTTCAGCAAGTGACCAGACCTTTGAAGGCAGCTTTTTCTTTTTTGCAAGGATTTGTATTGAGCTGAATGAGATCAAATGTCGATATTTATTTCCAAAATAAAAAAAAAGATTTTACTCCACTTTTGTCACCATGCACTAACAGCTGTCGGTAACATCCTGCAATGTGGTTATAAAGTGACAAAATGAGGGAAAGTTCACACTGTATGAACTTGTCTTTATTACATAAAAAAAAACAACTTAACCAGAAAAAAATCCCCCTAATGTGAAGAATCTGAAGTTGACAAACACCCAGAGGTAAGATCGGAGGGGGGATCATGGATTTGGATCGCCAAGTGAATCATGGATTTGTCCTGCAGAATGAGTCCAGGCTGGGTTTCCTTCATAACATCACCACACCTGGAATAAATTATGAAGTGAAGGTGGAATATTTGCTGCGTGTCCAGCACCAGCCGACGCTCAGGGAATACCCACCCAATCTTTCTGAGTGAGTAGGTGTCTCATAACCGTTATTGGCTGTCGCTGCGCAGAATGACGTAACGTAACTACTTCCTTCTGCGAGAGTCGTAAAATGATCGCCACTACTGCGAACCAAGAAACACCAACCAAGTATTTTTGGTCCAGTTTCTAGTGCAAGTGTGTCAGCACACTGGAAATATGACAAAACTAAGTTACAAGAAGCTTTTCAGTAAGATATACAAGCTTGTTTTCAGTCAATAATTTCTTAATATTGATGAGAAAGAACTGGTTCCATTGGCAGATTATTTCACTGATTACACAACATTGTTCCCTCGTTATAAGTGAAACAATCGGCCAGTGGAACCAGCACTTTTTCCATCAACACTGAGGAATTCTTGACTCTAAACAAGCTGCTGAAAAGCTGCTTACAGATTATTTCAAGTGTACTAAGATAGTTGCTCTAGAAACTGGGGCAGACGCAAAGCTTCCTCTCCATCGTGCAGTGTCCCTGCAGTCGAGATGCCCGATGGGCCCCGGCTCTATTTTGAAGAGGACAGTTGTGCCGGGGCCCGTTCGGTATTCCAACAAGGCCCGGCTCTATATAAAGACACGTATGCCTTTCTCTGCAGAATTCCTCGAATGCTTTGGCGACGCAGCGGAATTAGAACGAGCGTAAATCATACCCAGGTGACCTTTTGAGCAAAACCGAGAACCCGATTACAAAAGAGCTTAAACTACTAGAGGAATCCAACTGGATGTCCAAAAAATAAAGGGGGGATGAAGGGGGCAGCGCCTGTTGCTCGGCCCTCTCCTCTTTTGTGTTCCCCAGCCTCTGTCGTTAAGAGCGGCGCAAGGTTTCGCTCTTGGATCGCTTACAGGGGAAAATGACAGGCATGCAGCATGTGTTGGCGGCGCGGCCGTGTGGGCCACAGGCAGATCCCCAACGCAAACAGCCGAGTCTTTGCCATTCGTTCTGCTGTGAGTGACGGGCGGTGAGGGGGGGCCAGAGAGGTCGGGGTCCAGTGGGGTGGGAATGGGGGGGGGGACTTTTCACCGATTTGGACCGGCGGGGAGTGCTGGCTGCCGGCTGAAAACCAGGAGCATTCACACAAACAGCACAGATGCTGCACACCCTGCTTTGTCTGTGGGTAAAGCAGGGTGTAAGCCTCTCGCCCCGTTGCTGGATTGAACTGTCAAGATTCAAATGTCGCTGCCTTTAAGCTCCTGAGGGAACGGTTTCCCCATTCCGGGTCTCCCTCTGCGCCTCCCCGGAGGAGGAGGAGGAGGTTTAGGAATGTCGTCAGGTTCACATAGATAAACGCACACTCCCCTGAGCAAAGCTCTCTGTGGGGAACCACTGATCCCAGGCCAGGTTGTTTGTCATGAAGGAGTCAGAGGCTTTTCTAAACTCAACTGGAAACGTTTCAGGTTAGCAACGCTTATATCACAAAACAAAAAACTGATTTTAATGGTCAACAAACGACAAATGTTCCTACTGCGGACACGGCTTATGTAGGGAACAGAACCAGAGAGGGACGGAAGAGAAAGATGGAAGGGAGGAGGAGAGAAAGGAAGAAAGAGAATGATGGAAGGAGAAACAGAAGAAAGAAAGAAATGGGAGGAAGGAAAAAAAAAGGGAAGGAAGAAAGGAGGAAAGAGAGAAAAACAAAGAAAGACTGAAAGGAAGAAAGAAAGAAGGAAACAAGACAGGGGCGGTAGAGAGGTTGGACAAAAGAAAGATATCAAGAGAAGAAAAAATTGACACAAAGAACTAAAGGGAGGGAGAAAGGCACGAAAACAGAGGAAGGAGGAACAAGAAAAGGAAGAATGGAAGGACTTTAGGGGCAGAGGAAGTATATGTTTAATTATGTTCAAATATGTTTTCCACTTCTAAAATATGTACAATTTTATTCTTATTTTTTTATCGACTTGAAGTATATGAAGAAAGATGGACAATCAGGATGAAGAAAAAAACACCTTTTCATTCTTGAATGTCCTTTTCGTTGTTATCTGGGAACGGAGGCGACCGCAGGCTCTCACCTTCAGCTGCTGCTGGAGCTCGCTGTTGAGACGCCGCAGCACGGCGTTGGTCTCCCGGTTCTTACGGATCGCCATCTGGATTTCCCTCTTCTGTCGGGACAGCAGCCTGACGGAGGGATTAGCCAGATTTATTAGCCTTTACGCTCCGCTCTCCAGGTACAAAATTATCTAAAAAGTCACTTTAATCAGTTCGGAAATGGAAGGAATCGTTCCAAACGCGGCGCAGTAAGAGCACCGCGTCTGTCTGCAAGCAGTCAGCGTTGCTATTGACGGTTGCTGTCCACTTTACAACAAGGAGACGGGGACACACATGTTGAAGTCGTTATGTCCTGTTTTAATCAGATAAAGTGTCCCTTCAGGGTGGATTTCATGGATTCTCCCACATTAGACAACCGAGAGCGGACTTATCCAAATTCCTGAAAACATTGTTCCAGTACACAAAATCCCCATCAGTCAATGAAATACCTGAAGGTTATTAAAGCCAATTATCTGCATTTGGAAAGGGAGCGGCCGTCAAACTGACTGGTAACCATGGTAACAAGGTGTGAAATAAATAAATGCTTTTAGCTTTCACCGCAGTAGTTTAATCCCAAAATAAAGACTTTAGAAATTTTCTGTGGGATTTATGTCAAACAATCCAAACCCTTCAAAAAGCCAGTTCCCCTCCCAGCCTGTGGCGGCGCTCCACCAAGAACTGCAGAAGGAAACGACACAAAAACGTCTGAAGAAGACGCACGCAACCTCTTTCTTCACAAAACGCAGACAAAAAAGAGCGGTGTCAGATTTTAGCGATTGTCTCCGGTGTTTGGCAAAACACGGCCAGACATTTCTCCCGCCAACACTAAACTCCAGAGTTTGTTTTTGGTTCTGTTTACCCAGAATGCACTGCACCACAGTTCGCCTCCTGCTTTTGCAGCGGTCTTCAGCAGAACAAGGACATAGGTTTTTAGGTGGTCCCGAACAACTTGGGACTTTCTAGAACAGCAAACTAAAGCGGATTAAACGAGGCTGGTGTGAATTCGCTCTAAAGAAAGTTAGCGTTTCTGACTGTGGGTTAGAAAAGCCTCTCATAAACACGGGCTCAAATTTATGCTTGTTTGCCACATTTCCAGTTTGTTTTAATTCAGCAACTATCACCCTTAAAGTGGACATTAAGTGTCATGTTTTCTAAGCTCAACACACATCTGCCTCATTTATATAGCATGTTCTCTCGTCTTTCCCATGTTTGAGAGTAGCTAACCGAAATGGGCATGGATTTTAAGTCAGACTTTCTTCCAAGAGGAATTACTTGGACTTTACTGTTTGGTTGCCGGTCAGTGAAGAACTGGTCATTCTGCTGAATTCATTCTGCGTGTGGGATGTATTCACATTTTATTACAGTGAGGTAAATTTACTACAATAAAAAGCTTAAAATTGCTAATATAAGGTTGTTTAAATTTCTTCTGCAGTTTTTCAATTTTTTTTTATTTATTTCTGGAAATCACGTTTTTATCAGCGAGTGAAATTTAACGCGGGAGGAAAACAAATAAAAAATGGACACGTTTTTGGCTCAATTCATTGTTTGAGCACTAGATGGCAGCGCAACAAGACCTCCATGTTAACAGGCTGACAAATGGAGGTTTATTTACTCATCCAGGTCACATAGGACACATGATTTTTTTCTTCTTCTTTGTTTTGACTCTTCAGACACTAAAACTTATTTGTCTACATGTCATTATGGCATAATTCTCAGTTTGACTCAACCTTATCACTGCACAGGTTGAGTCAGTGATTCTCAACCTTTGCAGTTGAGTACAGATCGATCGATCGATCTACCTATCTGTCTGTTTGGTTTCTTTTTGTAATATTTTGTGAAAAGGTACAAATTTAGTTCATTATGATTGATTTGTAAACAGAATCATACGGGTAAAACATCCAAGGGGGTGAATGTTTATAGGCACTGTAATGTGAATAGAGTATTAGTTTAAAAACCCCAAAAGGTGTAATTTTCCTTCCACTTCTCTATGAGCCAGTCACATTAAATCCCACTGAATCTGTGGTTGAAACGTGACAAAACGTGGAAAGATCCGAGGATCGTGAACCATTGTGGAAGGCAACAGCTTCGCCACCGCTTCTCAAACTTCAAACTTCTGCCTGATTAAATGAATTGAAAATTTGTCACTAACTTTTGGCTGGTTTTGGCAGGCGGTAGGAACGGCACGGCAGGAGGCGGAGCTCCGGCCTCCAGGTTCTGGCTTTCCGGGTGGTACTTCCTCCGAATCGGCTTTTGTGGCACCTGACCGTGAGGCGTGCCGGAGACGTCCTGAAAAAAATGTAAACAAACAAATATATCAGCTCCTTCCAGCTGAAACGCAACACATAAAATACACAAACCGGTGCGGTCTCATTGTTTGTTGTGGTTGTTTTTTTTTTGCACATCCAACCTGTTGGGAAGTGCTTCCCAGGTCTTCAGAACTCAGTCCAAACCTGGAGGCCGGACCGGGCTCTTCCAGCTTCACGCCGCTCTCCTCCTGTGACCCTCCCCCCAAAAAGACAGAGAGGAGAAAGCAAAATGATGGAGGGACTCTTCCTGGAGGACGGGAGTGTTGACGTCGTGACAGGGTGAGACGACACGAGAGCGAAGCTATAAAAGAGGCAGGATGAAATGCATCTGCTCCGACCGGCGGTAAATCAGCACCTTCCCTGCAGGATGGGGGCGGGAGGTGAACGACCGGGGAGGTGATGTACTGCTCTCCAGGAGCTTTGGGGAAGGGGGGGCTTGAGGGGAGGGCAGCCATGATGGATTAACTTACTTTTACTACACCTATTCGCTGCATTTCAGCCATTCTTCTCTATTTTGATTTATCGCCACCTGTTTTCAGTTAGCAAAGGTTAACAGTGCAGAAGTGCAAAGAAGGGCCTCACGCGTCCTACTTCTTCATTTCTTTTACTTTGCGAGGGCAAGTTCATGTAAAGCGCGGCCGTCACGCTCAGTTTCCAGTGTGTGGAAAGTGTTGATGGACACGTAAAAGCGACATCTTTTTAAAAAAAGCTTCATTTTTTTCCACATTTGTTAAAACTGTCACCACATTGTGACGTCACAATACGACACAATCTGTGAAAATCACTTTTTTCCAATGTTTCTGGCAAGTTTTGTTCCAGAAAATGAGCAATAAGCTCACAATTATGCATCAGTGTGAAAAAAATGAGAGGATCTTTGATTCTTAGTGAATTTCCACTAAAAACAGAGATCGATTTTTACGCAGTTGTTTATCTTGAGGGTTCTATTTGTCTTTCTTCCAGAATCTAGAGGACCATGTGAAGAGCTCCGGCGGGCCGCATTCGGCCCCCAGGCCTCAAGTTTGAAATTGTAATCTAAAGGTTCAGTTCTGCTGCCTTCGTTTTAGTCTTGGACGAAATTCTCAAAAGGTTTTTTTTTGTTAAAAAACAACAAAAAGCAGACTCTGCTCCTAAATGCACCCAAGAAACCTCAAGGAACGTCAAGCAGAGAATGTAGCCGGTTCTCAGAGTGACTCCATGGGAAACACGACCGCAGCATGGAAACATTTGAATGCACCGGAGTGGTTGGTGCAGCGGAGCTTCATCAGCCCCAGGGGCAAGAATGTGTGGTCGCCTCAGCTGTAAGTCGCAGCCGCTGGCTGCGCCGTCAAGTCACTTTCTGAGAGGAGTCGATTTTTCAAAAGCAGCCGAGGTCAGCAGGACTGATGAGGTGCAAAAACCCGAGAGAGAGCTCCTCCGAACTGAAGAGGAGAAACAAGCCCCCGAAAAACTCTGCTTCACACAACGCCTCGCTAAAGTATTTATGCTTCTACATCAAGTGAATTTTGAAGGAGGAAAGAAGTTTACAGGTAGAAATTCTGAAAAGTGTGACAAAGAAACTCCTAAATAGAAAACTATCTTAGATACGATGGAATATTTGGGCCAAAAAGAGAAAAAAATAAAATAAAATTACAAAAATAAGGTCGTAATATATCCCTGAATGAACCAGTACAATAATGAAGTGAACATAGTACAAGGATAAAGTGTTATTCTTGTATCATTTCATCCTTATTCTTATACTTTGATGATGTTTTCATTCTTTTGGCATAGCTTTAATACCTCTGTCTTAAGAAGTCGCACCGCAAAACTCAAACTATTTCTAATTTGGTTTCTAGTGAAGAAGTGTCAGTACACTTGAGAAATAAAGTGACTAAAAATAAATAAAATAAAAAGACTAACTTATTTATTTTATTTTTTATTATTATTGTTATGATAATAAAAAATAAAAGACACTCAGGGTCTTTGTTCTCAGGACTAAAACAAATCTCTCATATTTCAGCAAAATATGAGAGATTGTTTTAAGTCAGTATTGATAAAAAAACAAAAACAGCAGCAGTTCCATTGGCAGATTATTTCACTTCTAACATGAAATATGTCTTGTTAGAAGTGAAATAATCTGCTAGTGAATCTAGCAGTTTTCTGAACAGTTACTTGTAAGTTAGTTTTGTCCTATTTTAAGTGCACTGAGAATTTGTTGCGAGAAGAGACTCGACCAGAAACAGTTTGTAAGAGTTGGTTTTATTCCAGTGCACTGAGCCTTTATGGAAGTGCAGTTTGCCCCAGTTGCTGTAGAGGGAGCTGTCAATCTGTGGAATGCGCTCTGGGTACACGAGGATCAACTTTGACCTTTTCGGTCTGCGTCCAAAATGAAGTGTGCGAGGACAGGGGGACTCAGACGTGTGGTGTTAAACCACCAATGATGTTTTTTCCTTTAGTTCGCTCCCAGCTGACTGGACTGAATGAGAAGCAGATTCAAGGAAGATTCTGGATGAAACCAGAGATGGAACAGAAATGTCTGCATTCGGGGTTCAACTTCAGTCTCAGTGCATTTACAAAGGCGTCAGACACTTGAACTGAATGAACGGGACTTTGTGACAGACGATTCAGGTCTGTTGGAGCAGATGTGCATCAAAAGGTTAACTGTCAAGGATTTAGATCAAGGCGTACTTATGTTTTAGAGCGGCCCAAAGTCCAGGCCGAAATTTAAACTACAGAGTATGGACCCAAGAGGGTGGCGCACTGCACTTGGAGGATGCTGTTTAAAGGAAAATGTTAAAAACCTGGAATCAATTTCGTCCCACTTCGGAATAACGCACTACTTTGTGTCAGTGTCACATGAAATCCTGTCGAAACACTTTGAGGCTCTGAGTGAAAAGATGAAGAAGTATGGAAATCACTGCAAGGCACCGCAAGGTTACATCTTATTCATCCTCTGCAGTGAGTGCAAAGTTGACAATTGCAGCGTCTGCACAGTGGGACAGAAAAATAAAGATGACGAGAATAAAGTGATTTAATCCTGACTGTTAATCTTTGAAGTGACCATCATGGGGTTCTACAGTGGAGCGTCGGGCCCAAGCTAAGAAAATGAAAAATAAAACTAAGAGAAAAAAGTCATAAAACGATGACAAAGTTGTAGTGCTATGACAATAGAGTTAGAATATTGCTAGAATGAAGTTGTAATTTTAAAGGATTAATGTCGTAATGTTATGAGAATAAAGTCAAAACAATATAAAAATAAAGTCAATAACAAGAGTGAGAATATTGCGAGATTAAAATTAGAATTATGCCTTTATTCTCACAATATAATGACTTTATTCTCACAATATAATGACTTTATTATCATATATTTATGATCTTATTCTTGTCATTTTTTCCTTTTTGTTTCACTTTAGAGATCAGCAACCTGGATGCAATGAGAAGGAGCTTTAGAAAATATGGACTGGACTCTTTGAATGAAGAATTCTTGATGACCAAACGAGAGGCTGTAAACTCCTCAGCACCTCTCTGATGTACCTGCCCGTTTTATTTCCCTCTGAGGATCCGGGGCCCGGTTCGGGTTACAGTTTATCTCAGCGAGTGGAAAAAGACACACACACGCAGCGTATGCAGACCTGCGGGATAATCTGTTCGGCTTTTATGAAGCCAAACGTCAGATGTACGGCGGAGGAGCGAAGCCGTCTCCATGGGAACTGCAGAAAGTCGGGGTTTAAATGAGACAAACGGAGACAAACAGAGACAAACGGAGACAAACGGAGACAAACGGAGACAAACAGAGACAAACAGAGACAAACGGAGACAAACAGAGACAGAGACAAACGGAGACAAACAGAGACAAACGGAGACAAACAGAGACAAACAGAGAAAAACGGAGACAAACGGAGGCCGCAGCCTGTACGCATCATAGTGGGAAAAACCCGGACAATGATGGAAAACACAAGTGAGCGGATGGGATAAACAGATGAGGCTGCGCTCGCCGTTTGACCCCGGGGAAAAATTTATCTGGAGTTATTCGTTTCCTAAACACTGAAGAAATTTATGAAGCCCGTTACGATGATGTCAGGAGGCCCGAATCTCGGGTGAGCAACGGGTCACTCATTGGTTCAGATATGGGAGCTTGTTTATCGCTTAATATTGATTTAAAAAGTACTAGTTCAACTGGTAGATTATTTTAGTTGTAACTAATTTTCCCATGTTATAAGTGAAATAATCTGCCATTGCAACTGGCACTTTTTCATCAATATGAAAGAATTATTAGCCTAAAACCAGCTCATATTTCTTGCTGAAAACTTGCCTATCATTAAGTTTTGTCTCATTTCAAGTGCTAAGATATCTGCACCGGAAATGCTTTGTGAGATTTAGTGTTTTCGCAGGGCGGGAACAGGATCCGGTTCTGTTTGCTGAATTTGAAAACAGAACCAAATATGGCTTACGGAGAAACGAGGTCTGTTTAAAAACTCACCTCTTCTCTAAAGTGACTGAAGTTGGCGAAATTCGGCTGCTGAACTTTACTCTGGGAAGCTTGCTCCGACACCTTGAGGAAATGAGGAACCTGAAAAGAGAAATGTAATGTTCTGATTCCCCCCCCAAAAAATAAAATAAATAAAACTAGGAACAAAATCCCCACATCGGCACCGAGGAACTCACCTGTGAGCCCGACGGTCTGGGAGGCAGAGCTGGAGGAGGCAGCAGCCATCCGCTTTTCACCCCTAACAAAAGATAAATAAATAAAAAATCCAAGAAGAGCTCAGCTCCACACTCAGGGTCTTTGTTCTCAGGACTAAAACAAAACTTTTATTTCACATTCAGAACCTGACTTCCACCTATCGGAGCAGTAAAAATCACTGCTTCTGCTTTTGTCCCCTCGAAACGAGAAATGCTGACGGAAAGCCTGATGGGTGCGGCGCGGGGCCGCTTCGCCTTCCGCCTGTGGGAGGGCGAGACGCTGTGGGTGGAGTCAGGCGAGGTCGTACCTGGAGCGCTCTGCTGGAAGAGCTTGTTGAGGTCCAGGGAGGAAGCCCTGGAGTGGGTCTTCTGAGGGCGGGGCGGAGGCGTGGGCGGCTCCTCTGCCTTCTTTATGGCGTCGTCGATGGAAGTGCTGGAGTACGACCTGCAGGCGGACAAATGCACAGCTGGGCGAAGAGCAAACCTACAAAATGGACTCAATAGTTTCACCAACAAGTGTTTGGATGGCCTCGGATTTAACTAAATTGTCATCTAAAGGGCCGGTAGTATGAATTTTTCCAAGCACACAGTCATTTTAAGGCACAATCTAGTCACTATGTTACCTTCAGTTGCTGTTTATATATATGTATATTGGTAAAATATTACTTAAAACAAATTCGACTTTTCAATTTAACGCCTTGAAATTGGGGTTCTGTCTCTTTAAGTGGCTCCTGCTCTTAAAGAGACAGGAGCCCTTCACAACCATGCTCCTCCATTAAGCCTTTAACATCGCTCTTCAGAGCATTTGACTGAGACATAGCTCATATAATGAGACCTGCCCTTCCACCAGGTGTTTGCTAATTGCTGCTGCCGCTAGTCTAGAGGAACTGCGTGGAAGGCGACGCGTGGTGAGCGCTCTTTGGATTGTTGGAAGCTGCAGACCTCTGCTTCAAGTTAACGGCTGTGGGCTCACCAGTCAAATCAAAGACGTTCAGGAATATTTAACTGTGAAAAAGTTCAAGTGTGTTTATTTCAACAGTGCAGCCTTTTTTCTAATTTTCTCGTTACCTTTGTCTTGTTTTTGTTCTCATCTGCGGGTCTAAATCCTGAATCGGCTCTGAAGGAGAGGCGACATGAAACAGAAACACAGCGGAGAGACTTTGAGTTAACGAGAAGCAGTGACTTCGCTTCAGCCGCCGGTCGCCAGCGCGCGGGTCAGGCAGCTCAGTCAAACCTGCACATGATCGGCACTCACAACTATAACTAGAAGACGCATCGGCAAAATGCTTCCACAATGAAAAAGTGCTGGCTCCACTGGCAGATTAGCTTCACTTGCAGTAAGAAGATTTCTCCACGTTATAAGTGAGACAATCTGCCAGTAGAACCAGCACTTTTTCATCAACATTAAGGAATCGTTGACTTTAAAACAATTTTTATTATTTTATTTATATTTAACAGTGTTTAAAGTAAAAGGATTATTACCCGGCTTCTCAGGAAACGCTCCCAGCTGTGGAGTGGGCTTCCCTCGAGACGACCCCAAATGCGTCGCGCCGCCGTCTGCAGGCACAGTGAGGCAAAATAAACCCGTCATCAGCATAAAATATCAATCAGTGTTTCACATGCGTAAATCATCGAGTGAGCCAGTCGTTTTTAAGGCCGACAGATGAAATAACCCACACAGCTTCAATGGTTTGAAGGCCATTTTTAAAATAAACTCGCTTTTAAAATTCTTCCCACCGATTCACAAATCTGTGGCTCAGATCTGGCAAGTCCTGACGGCTCAATCCCCGCGACTGGTACTCAGTCAATAAGAACCTATGTCGCGACAGACATGTGATCAATACGTCTGATAGAATGTTCGATAAATTCATTGAACTCTGATCCAGAACCGCACGGCATTCTGGGAGGATTTTAGGTGGAGGATGGACTTTAAAATGCTCAGCTGCTCACAGCTGAAAAAGGTTGATGGCATCGGCTGGCTCACTCTTTGGATACCTAGCAAGAACAGGTTACTGTTGAGTAACCTGTGCAATTTCAGGTTTTGCTACAGTTCATAAAAGCTTAAGAATTAAAAATGGCGTAGAGTAGGAACTGTGGGCAGGCCACCAGTTTGGCAGCGTTTTAGTCACTTAAAGCAACAACAATAATGATAATCTACACTACCAGAGCTAGATAAGGAACATTTAATTATTCCTTCATTCATTCACTGACTTCACTGAGGTCAGGCAAGAAATTTTAAATATAGACTGCAATGTTTTCATGTGTTCAGTTTGTATTTAGTAATTTGGTATAAATCCAATTTAGTGGACCAAATATTATCATTCGATCCTGGAAAAATTAAATAAAAACAAGCACTAAAAATACCAGTGTGCAGCTCTTTCAGTAAGTCGGACAAATTTATTCAGTTTTACAAAAAACAAATTTTTATATCTTCTCTGATACAGTGAATTATGCACACTGACTGCAGTGAACAACCACATTGGTAGAGAGGATCATCAGGGCTGACTTTCCCTCAAAACAAACAAACAAACAAACATGGTAGTCAACATGTCTGCAGACCCCACACATCCTGGACACAGACCACATTAACAGGGCATTTCCCCCCCCAAATCCAGTCTCTGAATTAAAAACAATTAACATTTCAGACAATACTTACCTTTATTGAGGGATTCCTCTTGCAGATCTTGTTTCCTTGAGGCTAGGGTTGGGTTAAGCCTTGCTATGCTGCTTGGATCCTAAACAAAGAGCAGGACAGACTCCATCAGTGCCTGACAACACCGATACGTTCTCTTTATGTGCAGAGCATTTAAAGAACTAAAAGCTTTTTCTCCCTAGAGCCAACACTGGGGAGCCAGAATCTCCTCTCATAAGCTTGCCAGTGCCCTCTACAGGACACATAAAAAATTTTTTTTAAATCAGCATCCTTAAAAAGTGTTTTACCTTCACTGCCTGACAGGACCGCGGTTCCGCATCCTCGAAGACAATCAGAGGCTCCGAACTCTGCAGGCAAAGTAAAACAGTGTAAAGAGCTCCGCGCAGGACGAGAGCTGGACTTCGCAGAGAACCGTCTCCACCTCGGGAGTGTCTGGGATCCGCTCCTCTTCGTGCTGGGCCAGTGCCGGCTGCAGGGTCGGGGGAAGGCTCTCCGGGAGCGGGTAGCCGTTCTTCCGGGCCACAATCAGGTGAAAGGCTATGCAGAACTCGGTGAAGGTCAGCGCTCCGTCCCGATCCACGTCGCTCAGCTCCCTTATTGAGAAAGACGGAACGGAAAGACTTAAAAAGACGAGAAAAATCACCTTAAACTTACAGCCGTTGGTCTCTGCAAAAACACTGAGGACTGAACGTTTCGCGTGTCATTTTATCACTCGATTTTGATTTGTTGTCACAATAAATTCCAATGAATTAGAATTACAAAAAACTGTCTGTATTGTCGGGATTGTCAATTTAACAATTTTTTCCCCTCAATGTTTGTTCAATGATGAAATGAGTAAATGCCAATATATTTAAAAATATGATTAAATGTCTTCAGCTTAATGACACAAATCACACTTTTTATGTGACTGGTGTCCTAAAAAAAGTGTATTCCAAATCAGAAAGTCTCTCAAAAGAATTACTTTTCATTATTTTTGGACCTAAAGAGGAACGATCTAAAGTCAATGCAAAGCTTCAGTTATTACAACTAAAAACTAGCGATAAGGCCTGAAACCTGGGAGTAGTGATGGACTCTGACCTGAACATTCAGAGCCACATAAAGACAGTTACAAAGTCGGCCTTCTATCACCTGAAGAACATCTCCAGGATTAGAGGACTAATGTCTCAGCCAGATCTAGAGAAACTCATTCATGCGTTTATCTTTAGTCGCATTGATTATTGTAACAGCGTCTTCACAGGTCTGTCCAACAAATCAATCAAACAGCTGCAGCTGATCCAGAACGCTGCTGCTCGCGTTCTCACTAGAACCAGGAAGCTAGAGCACATAACACCAGTTGAAAAGTCCGTGCACTGGCTCCCTGTAGCTCAAAGAATAGACTTTAAAATACTGTTGTTAGTTTACAAATCACTGAACAGTTTAGCGCCACAATACATCAAAGATCTGCTGTTGTTGTATCAACCTTCCAGACCTCTCAGGTCTTCTGATTCTGGTCTGCTCTGCATCCCCAGAACCAGAACCAAGAAAGGAGATGCAGCTTTCAGCATCTATGCACCAAAAATTTGGAACAAACTTCCAGAAAACTGTAAAACAGCGGAAACCCTGACTTCTTTTAAATCGCAATTAAAAACACACCTGTTTAGAATTGTTTTTGAAATGTAATATGTAACAATGTATTGTCTATTATATGTTGCATGACTTTGTGTTCTTGTGTTTATGATGTAAAGCACTTTGAAATGCCTTGCTGAAATGTGCTATACAAATAAAATTTGATTGATTGATTGATACTTATGTTTTTATGGGATATAATTTGCTGCATCATGCAGAAGCAGCAAACACTTCAGCCACTCGCTCTTTGCTTGCATCGTTCCATGATTTAATTCCCACAACAGAAATGTGCGTTCTCTGACTGACCTGTCTGCTGTGCAAACAAAAGAAAACACGCAACCTCATTCAGCTGCACTGAAGCAGGAATGAGACAAAATGTGGAAAACGTCTGGCGCTGAAAACTGGTTTGAGGAGGAAGAGAGCAATTCCTCTCCTGTCACTTTCAAAACCGGGTCTTCGTGTGCCTCAGAGGCCAAACTCAGCTGACGCACGCACGCACGCACACACACACACGCACACACACACACACACACACACACACACACACACACACACACACACACACACACACACACACACACACAGAACGTGACCTCAAAGGCAGAGCAAGGTCAGGCGCCACGCTGAGTCAGTGCTCACCAAATGTGGGAGAGCTCCGGGATAGGCAGTTTGGATTTAGTGAAGAAGTTCTTCGCTACGGCTCCTGAAAAAAAAATAATAATAAAATAAATTTTAAAAAATCAAGGAAATGACAATAGAGCCTCATAAAACTCTTTAGACATAAATGTTTGGTTTTAGTCCATACCTAAGATCAGAGCTCCCAGGTCGGGCTGGAGGGTTTTAAACTGGTTGGTGTAATAGTCCAGCTGTTCCGCTGTCATCCTCCAGGGGTCGTCGTCGGAGTAGCTCAGCGTGGCCGGCTGGTTGAGCCTCTCTGCAGAAGAAGCCTGAGCAGAGGGATGAAACTGTGAAGTCAGACGTCACAGATGCCATAATGCTGCTAATTAAAAATGTTTTTAAAAAAAGCACACAAAAAAAACGGACTCGACCTGAGCCACGGCTGGATGTTCTGCAGCGGGTTTGTTCACATAGTGGCTGGGCGAGGAGTGCTGCTCCAGCTGCACGATCGACCGCGAGGAGAGTTTGCCGTCGTAGGCTGCAGGACGAGGAGAAAAAAAGAGCAAAACACATTGAAAACTACTGTTCGCACACGTCCGATAAGGGAGAAACTTCAGAAGAATGGAAAGCCGTCTCACCGATCTGCGCGTCCACGCCGTTCCTCTGCTTGGAGTATGGGTAGCTGCGATACGTCAGAGGAGAGCGAGGCGGCGAGCCGCACGGCGATCGAGGTGGAGACCACGCCTCCTTCGGACAGAAGCAGCACAAAAAAACTGAGTGAAAAAACTGAGTGAAGATTCCCCAGGATATTTTTCTAATACTTTCATCGGCTGATGCTAGCCTGGCCAATAAAACATATCGTATCGGTCCGATAGCCGATAATAACAATCGATTTTTATTTTGGAGGGGAGGGGCTTGACGGTGTCATATCTGTGACTGTGATGGTGATGCAACAGAGGATTGTGGGCGCTTTGAAGTGAAGCAGAGAAAGCAGCATCGGCGGTGTGTTTAGTTTTACACAAGGCCAAAGTGTAGGGTTATGTAACATACTGTCGCCGTCCTAACATAATGGCTCCTTTGCTTGTGCCAAAATCATCTTCTGGCAAAAAAATAAACAATAAATAAATAAAGAATCACTGATCACTGCAAAAATACAAAATCTCAAAACTCTTTTTAGCGTGACTTCGTAAATTTGAAATAGGCTAAGACAAAACTAACTAAACCAATAATTCCTTAATATGATTAAAAAGTTCTAGTTCCACTGGCAGATTATTCCACGTGTTACAAGACATTTCCACCACGCGATAAGTGAAATAATCGAGAACTTTTTCCAACAATATTGAGGAATTATTTGCTTCAACAAAAGACCCTCTAAAATCTTGCTGAAAACACATACAAAGATATTTGTATGAAACTATGTGCAAGCAAACTATGTCAACATTTTGTGTTTTTGCAGGGAGGCAAAAACTGGATCGAAGCTATTTAAATAAACTCAACCAGAACGATGACTGATAGCTATGAAAAGCATGTTGTTTCTCCTTGATTTGACAGGAAATATGTAACTACATGTTAGTAGGCTTATGTATATTCACTACATTGAGCCTATTTGTATAATTTTGACCGTGTGTAGAACAGAGGAAGTCTCAACTTGCACAATAAAAAAGAAGAAATTGTCAAATGTCGCTGATTGTAGACATGTCTGCGTTTGGTAAAAATGGCCGCCACTGGCAGTACGTGTTTTACATTTGCTTACAGGCTTCTTGTCTGCGTTGGCCTCCAGGTGTCTGAAGGAGCTCCTGTCCGCAGCGTTCCAGGTCGCAGAGCCAAGCGGCGCCCCCTGGGGGTCGGAGGCGACGTATCGGGTCTCCGGCTCATTCTTCAGCCCAGCGAACCTGGGCAGAGGTAGATCTGCAGAGACGGCGTCAGCAGGGTTCGGATACAATTCCCCACAGTAACGTTCAGGCACTTCAAGCATTTTCAAGGCGGGTTTTCAAACCCGCCTTGAAAATGGCCAGCACCAAAATTACCAAAAAATAATACAAATGAACAAAAGAAGACAGCTATTATGTGACAATTGTTTGTTACTGCTACTAATAATGTGTTGTGGTAGTATTCCACATGCTACAGCAGGGACAAGATAAACTAAAATATAAACTGAGAACAAAAAAATTCACAAAAAAGCTCCAATTTAAATAATGTTGTCTAACATATAAAATACAAAAAAAAAAACATTTATCCCAATTACACAAATAAATAAGTCACTGAGCTATTAGGAATAATAAATATTCACTATTTTGAACAAATCCTGTTGTCTATGGATTTCCTGCTCAAATCAATGAACAGTTTAAATAATCAGTTTATTTTCACTAAGGAGTTTTGTTGTTGTTGTCTCTTAATAGTTTATTGCAACTTCATTACCAAAGTGTGCATCTTAAATTTCAAGCATTTTCATTTTCCAAACCTTGAAGCATTTCCAAGGATTCCAACCCTGTTATGCTACATGTTGACGTTCTGACATTTCAAGCACATGCAGCTCATTCTCAAATATTTTACAACCTGCAGTCATTTAATGAGGGGAAGGTCATCTTAGCCAACAGGTCTGCTGTGGGCCAAAGTGTATATATGCGTGCGTGTGTGTGTGTGTGTGTGTGTGTGTGTGTGTGTGTGTGTGTGTGTGTGTGTGGTGTGTGTGTGTGTGTGTGTGTGTGTGTGTGTGTGTGTGGTGTGTTCACTTCCCCCTTATAATCCAGAAATCTCTGTGACGCTGCCGGGAAAACAAGCTCCCTCTGCGGTCGGGGTGCGACTGACTGCTCGCCATTTTCAAACGAGGGCAAACCCGCTTAGCGCTCGCCAAGCAACCCCCCCCCCCCCCACCCTTTTCATCCAGATTAGACCCAAATCCCGCCACGTTCAGATAATCTCCAGATCCCCTTTTGCTCCCGTAAGACGCCTTCTCTCTGGGAGCGACAACAACACTCACTGCCGGCTACGCTCTCCAGGCGGACGGGCAGACCGGACTGGGCGGCCGCCAGCAGCTTTAGGGCGATGTAGAACTGGGCTGTGCCGAAGTAACCCAGGTGCTTCGCGCCACACACCTCAGTCACCTGGGAAAGACAGAAATAATACTATTTATAAAAAAAAGACAATTCAAATGAAAAGCAAAATGTGTTTTTTTTTAGCACAAATACTTGGCCAGACATATCGTGAAGAGTACGATTTTACTGTATACTGAATGTACGTTCAGACGTAGACGGTATGTATGGCTTGGGATGTGTGGTCATTTTAGAGTGGGATTAAATGAAGGGGTTTGTTAAAAACCACAGGCTGCGGAAGCAGAATAAAGGCAGAGCAAAAGGTGTGCGAGGGATAAGCAGCGCAGAGGGATCGGTTTATGCTGCACTCTCGTGTCTGGAGGGACAATGGCCGCTTTGAGGGGAGCAAAGAAGATTAGGGTTTATGTGGGGCGGTCAAGTAAGCATGGAAAACCGATGATTGAATGTCTTTTCATAGTTTTCCTGTGAAAAGCTCATTAAATCAATGTTCTCTTCAGAAAAGCACACTGAGTAAAAAAAAAAAAAAAAAACATGGTTTTTAAAGGGGAGGTGAAAAAAAAGCGATTCAAACCCAATGAGAGGAAGTAATTATCTGGTAATAATAAAAAAAAACAAATAGCTTTTTCTGCCATCCAGAGAAAATGTAACCAGTCATATAGAATATTTTCCCAGAAGTCTTAGCGTTCATTAGTATTTGAATTTTATTTTTTATTTATTTTTTTATTATTATTATTATGAAAATGTGAGATGAGCCTTTATGTTCGTTTTGGTCAGCTGTGTCCCCCCTCCCCCGGAACTCTCCCAAGAATGTCATTTTCCCAGTTGAACTATGAACTCTGACCTTTGATAAACAATCTAAATCATTAAAGTGTGAAAAAAAAAGCAAAAAAAAAATGCATCTATACGACACTTCGTAAACAAAAACACATCTACGGATTTCTGGATTGAATTAATTTTTTTGTTTCTAGGCAGAATCTGCTCAGTGACAGTGGGGAGTCTGTGTTCTCATAAAGCATAATCCACAGTATCCTAAAGCAACCACGAGCTTTTATTTTTTCCCCCCCCTTCTTCCGGGATGCTACTGTGGCACAGTTGACAGCCAATAATGTGTGTTTTTATGATTGCTGAAGACTTCCCAACAAATGTTTGAAATAAGCCCAGTCAGTCTGAAAACTAAAACCAACTTTTGTCACCAAAAACAAACAGAAAGGCATCTTCCAGGGCCTCCATTTTGTTGTGGCAACAACAGATTAACTCTAGCTCCCTCGCTGCACAATTTAATTCATCATGAGAAAGGAATAACTTGGAAAAGCGCAACATTCTTCCTGAAACAAAAGCAGTTTTACAGAATTCAAATGCTGCAAAATGCTTTCTTTTTTCACCCTTTAGTTTTGTGCAAAGTTTAACAAACAGACAGTTTGTGTTTCCTGTCTAATGGGATTGAAGGTCCGGTTGAGGACACGGCTGCCTTATGAGATTCATTTGGCTTGACCTGCATTGTATTCATACGGCAGCTTTTAGGAGAACAGGACATCCAAAACAAGTCAGAAGCGGAACACACAGCAGAGGTCAAGTCTGCACCGTTTCTCTCTCTGTGTGTGTGTGCGTGTGTGTATGTGTGTGTGCGAGAAGGGCAGATGAGGAGATTATTTGAGGAGCGACGGCCGAGGCCTTGACAAACCAGACTGACGAGTCCCTGATGTGTCCTGAGGAGGTTTAAACGTATTCAGGGCACAACACCAACGTTTCAGCTCTACTTCCCCACTAAATGTCCCCCAGCACTTTGGTTCCTACACTTCCACCACTTTGTTTTGTCATCTGTAAGGCTTGTGTTTGAACAGCTAGCGCTAATTGTGGCTGAGTCCGAGCTACGATACATAGGAAGGCGTTTCAGCAAGGTTAGGGTTAGGGTACCTCTGCTCGTGAGCCTCTGGGAAAACATGCAGCATTGTCCTTTTCCTCCTCCAAAAACTCAAGAGGGAAGCCTTTTAAACTCCTTCATTCGGCTAAAGCCCTTAATTGTTTTTCCGACTAAGCTTTTCCACTGGCAGCCGCACAGAAGGCATAAAACAGCACATGTCGCAGGACTTTAAACAAACCTCCTGAACTTCGTGTCTTTCAATTTCACCAATGCGTCTCTTCTCAATACTAGTGCAGAATTTGAGAATGGTGCTGAAGATTGATAATGATGTCAAGGCCATTGTTGTAATGCCAATAAATGGTTTTCCAATTTTTATTTTTATTTTTTGATGAGATGGGTACAGCAAATTTTTGACACGCTGTTTTGTGTTCACATTTACATAAAAACTGATTTTTATTTATTATTTTTTTAATTAATAGTTTTTTTTGTTATGGTTTTATAAAGTTTGAAGTGATTTCCTATTAAAAAAGAAAAAAGCACCTTGGTTTTTATCAAAAATAATCCTGGGATTAAATACATGGCACACAATTACTCTGAACCTTTAAGAAAGCAGTATAATGTGTTTTCCAGCCACTTGGTATCATTTCAAAGCACAATCAAATAACAACGTACAAAAATGCACTATATGTCAAGTACTGCGTAAAATAAATATTACTTTGTGATTCAACACCTTGAAATTAACCGTTTTACCAGAGTTTCTCTATAACGAGCTCAGCAGATGTGCAGTTCCAAAGTTTTTGCTAATTGCTGCTGGCTAGTCTGAAGGAGCTGAATAGTGGAGTCAGAGGTGGAAGCTCTGAAGCTTGGAAACTGCAGGTTGGAGGAGGAGCTACGTCCTCGAAGGCGGAGCTAAGCCCACCCAGATGTTTTGCACAGCTGAACGGTTGGAATGGAGACTAAAGGATTTCTCAAACATGCATGAAGGAAATAAGGCAACGCTCCAGATCTGTGTTTGATGAGGGAATAACCATACAAAATAATGCAAAGCTCAAAGGAGTTGCTGCTGTTTTAAAAGAAAAATAAATTTAAAAAAAAGCTAAATGTTTTTCATACATCCACCACACCCCCCAAAAAAGTACCGTAGATAAGATAGTAGGGACCCCCTTACACTTATCTTACACTTACCAGCATTGTATTTTGGAAACTGCTGGAACTGAAAGACTGCATAAACACTTACTGATGCATATTTCAGTCAAACACAGCAAAAGGATCAAACCACCAGAACTAAACTCACACCTTGTTCAGTTGGACCAGTTCGGCAGCTGTTGATTTCTGAACAATTGTATTTTACACGCCTTGGAGCGCGTGTACACACACACACACATACACTGGCCGTTACAAATGTTATCATGTTGCCCCGATAAAATGCTTGGGGAATCTTTTGTCTGGTTGGAGGTGAAAATAATGAAACATCCTCAGCCAACGGCAGCGTGACTCAAAGTCCGTCTGCATGTTGGCTCGTTTCCCCGCGGCGGGAGGAAGTGTCATGCCTTTCTGCTTATCAGCTGTGAACACGAGTCGGACAGAATAGATCCATCCTCAGCAGTCATGAAATATTCACACAGGACATGTCGGAAAGGGTTCTTTGTGTATGTCCTGACAGCAGTGCTAAATATTCATGTAAAGCTATAACCTGAGATCTAACCGGGCGTTTACAGCCAGGAGGAAATAACCCGATGCGTGTGACACGATGAAAAAAGTAGGAGGCACCGAGTCCGAGAGTGATCCTGCAGGCATCCTGCAGCCGGGCCGAGCGGCGGCGCACAGGGCTCTGTGTCAATCACCCCCCGAGAGGTGGCGGCTTTCCAGGCCGGACAGGAAGGAAGCGAGCGCAGCTCTGTGCCAAACTTCCTGACACCCACACAGACACACAATGGGAGTGTCGGAGGTTTTGGGACAGAGTGTGGGCCTGAAACGGCAGCGACATGCTGCGCTGTGTTCATCGGGGAACTTTTTTTTCATTTATTTTATTTTTGTTTCTGTGATGGCTCAGCAAAAGGATCTGATGATGTGTTTTGACCAAGGGATTTAAAACTTGTTTTGTACAACATCAAAAAACAAATTGCGTAAACGACAAACAAGATGTGATCTTGCTATTTTAAAAAAAGACTTTTTGTGGTTCTTAGTGTATTGGAACAGTATTGACATCTCTTGAACTTTTCCACACATCATGTGACAACCATAAACTTATGGTTTAAGGTTTTGTTTGTTTTTCTTTTGACAAATAAAAGGCATCAAAGAAAAAAAACTGAAAAGCGTTGCATGCCCCCTTCATACGGCACCTCTAAATAAAATCCAGGGCAACAAACTCATTCAAAAAGAGCAATCCCAGAGGAAAACATGTTCACCTCCCAGCAGGACAAAGAATTAGATCAAGGCATAGTCATGTGCTAAAATGGCCCAGTTAAAGCCCAGCCCAAAATCCAATAAGGAATTTGTCAAATAAATAGATCAGATGGAGAATCTGTCTCTATTTGATATTTGTGGTCATCAACTGCATTTAAAGAGAAACAGCAGACGAAGTCAAGACACGCAAATCAACTGGCACTTGTAAATGTGACTTTGAAAAGCACGCCACACTTTTCAGATATTTTATGTGTAACAAATTTCTAAATTCAAGTAATCGGTTTTCTTTCACTCCACTTTCATGAGCATCAATTGTGCTGGTCTGCCACATGTGATGATGATGAAATACAACAAGGTGTGCGCTTGTAATGTGGCAAAACGCTTTGGGCCTCAACACAAATATCAATATCATAAATGTAACTTTTGATGTGACATCAGGCTCTGAGCATCAGTCTGTGCAGCTCCCAGTAACAATATGGCTGTAATAGATTTCCATGGTCAATGTTCTCTGAGATGGTTCATTGAACAGAAGCTTCATATACAGAGCTGTGAGAAACTGCAGGCAGTAGTGGAACCTCTTAAAGGGACAGAAGCCCTGATTCTTACAGCAGATACCAGTAGCAGCTCAGTCCAGAGCTTCACACATGCACAATTAGAGGTGGGTGATACCGCCTCATCGTTTCATCGCGATATTTTGCGGTAACGTTGTGATAAAGATGAAACTAAAACTGACGATAAGTACTGTTTGTTACACTTTTTTAGGTATGACTGTGGCTGGGTGTCACAGCAATTACAGTCCCACAAACACAAACTATGCTCTTAAAAATCATTCCCATTTGTCAAGAAAATTGTTTTTTTTTTATGACAAAGAAGTGTGATCTGTGTCACTACGCCCCTGTATTATCCGATTTATAGGAATTTATTCATGCTGTCGTTGAACAAACAATGGAAAAAATTGTTTTTCTGAAACTATCAATTCCAGACAATACAGTTTGTTTGTTTTTCTTAAACTAAAGTTAATTGGAATTTATCGACAAGGAGGAAATACACATTTTTATCGCGATAAGAAATGTATCTCGATAAATGGCAAAAGACGGAATCGCCTTAAAACGTCACAAATTAAAGCAGGAACGCAAAGGCCTGAACATCTGACTGCGAGCTGAGAGGAGCAGCTGGCGGTGAATTCATCCAAATGCCGGGACTGTGACAACAGACCGGGCTCCTCGATTGTTTCATCGCCCACAGAGCCGACACCGAGCGCACAGCTGGTCGTCATGTTAACAGAGAGAGCTCCGGGCCCCTCTCGCCTCATGTCATCACTCACCTTATGCAGGGATTCCGGAGGAAGCTGAGACGCCTTGAACAGCTCCGCCACTTTGCTGGACGACAGCTTTCCCGGCGCGTCAGCCTGGCACAGAGCGTGGAGACCCGAGTAGTACCTCTGCTCATGTTCGGTCAGGGAGATCAAACTGGCCCAGGACGCCGCAGCGGATTCCTGATCCATTCCCGGGGGTGACGCATGGAGGGACCCGCCGGGTGGGGGCTGGGGCTGAGGGGCCGCTCAGTGTGCGGGCGAACGGATCAATACATCCTTCCTCCCAGTGCGCGGCTCCCGTTTTTGACGAACGACGGATGGTACCAGCACCGACCAGGAGCGATTCACCCCGTGAAGACGCACCGCCGAGCTGCGGGCTTGTCCACTCCCACTGCCTATTGTGGCCGTTTGTAGCGATGCCGCTCTGCGCCTGAAGGGGGCGACAGAGCACAGGAAATAAATTAGCCGTTTTTATTTATTTATTTTTTTTCTCCGACAACGTAAGGATTTTTTTTTCTGCTGCCATGTTTCACATTTTAAAGTGTATTAATTCATAATAGATGCAAAAAAGAGAAAAAAAAATACTCCTTTCTCTACATTATTGCATATATTTTTTAATATTGGTAGCCAGACAAAAATGAAGTTGCAATTAATCAAAAATTAAAAAAAAAACCTGCAGTTTTTGTGATTACTTCCAACCTGACAATTCTGGCCCCTGTGGTAAAAAGTTTTGGATGAAACTCCGCAGCACTAAAACCGACAGCCAGATACACAATTAATCATATTAGATTAAAAGGCAAATTATGTCTTAGATTAGTCAAAAACCCAAATGTGTGGCAAGATTTTGAGAACTGATGTCCACTCTCCGTCAAAGCTGAGTTTTCTTCCACACGTTCTGTCATCTGAAAAATCCCCGGAAACGTTTGGATCTGGAACGTGACGAAACTCAAAATGATAAAGAGCACAGTGAAAAACAATCAGCAAAAAAACAAACAACTTTTGCCCTGCTTCATCATCATATCATCATCATCATCATCATCATCATCATCATCATCATCATCATCATTCCTGAGTGTTTCCTGTTTTTCCCGTAAAACATTTCATAGGAGCAAAGGTCATTTATTGCAGGGTCACAGTTTGGTGGCTCACTGTGGGTTTGAGTTTTACGCTCAGGGTCCAGTCGACTGTCGGAACCCAACCTGTCAGCGCGGTCTGACTTTAATGGCAGAAAAGCAGAAATCATGATAAAATAGTTGAAAAATTAACCAGCAAGCCATCAGGGTGAGATGGATAATTAACCCTGCATCCACCTAACTCTTGCTCCTACGGATTTTAATGAGTCACTGAGATTATTTTTTTCTGCTGTCCAGCATTTTTTATTTTTCATTCTCTGTGGTTGTTTTGAACCTGCAGCGCTCACTGAGACAGTGAGGCCTGAGCTCTGAAACAGAGAAACACGAAGGAGACGAGAACCAGAACAGCACAGCTTGTCTCTGCCACACACACACTTCTGTCCAGTGTAAACTGAAGGAGACATGTTCCCCCAGTGGGTCTCTCTCTCTCTCTCTCTCTCTCTCTCTCTCTCTCTCTCTCTCTCTCTCTCTCTCTCTCTCTCTCCCTTCAGATTCTCTCTTCACGCAGGAGAGAACAGTGGCTGCCATTTCTCTCGCAGGTGTGTCCTGGCTTAACCATTAAACATCAGGTTCAATCCAGGAACTTTTCCAGCTGAACGCCTAGAAAGACGCCGGGAACGCTTGGCGAAGTTTCACCTGCTTTGGGAAAAATGTTGGGAAGGATCGTCTTCTTCCTCTGCCTGCCGTCTGTTTTGGCCGCACAGCTTTGCAAGCCAAGTAAGTGATCAGCTCAGTTCTTCCTCTCAGTCAGAGAACGTCCATTTGAGTTTGAGCTGTCACACTCTGTGAAATGAAGCCCTTTCTCAGGCTTTGTTGCCCTGTTTCCTCTCTGGTCAGAGTGGAGTTCAGCTTCTAATCTGCCTTTATTGGAATGGAGTCAGATTAGGGACATAACTCAGATTCTTGCCTACTAATAAATAATTACATACTTATCTACAGTGAAAGCAAAACCCTTATCAGGTCACTGCGCCAGAAGTTAGTAAAATATTGCGAATTCATCTAAAAGTCATTCTGAAGTTGAGCAGAATTTCAAACATCCCGTTGAAAATGTATTTGCTTCTTCTTCTTCTTTTTTTTTCTCATATTTTTTTCATTTTCCTTTTGCTTCAGATGCTGCCGAGGGCTTCAAAGTTCGACTCAGCATCAAAACCGCTCTGGGAGATAAAGCTGTATGTATATCTATGGTGCTTTCTCCCGCAAAGTGACTTCACCAGCTTCAGTTTATAATCTGTTTGATCCTGAGATTTAAAAAAACCAAAATTGAATCTTGAGGCGTTTGTGTCATTTGATCAGCAGAAGGCGCCCGTATAGCTCATCGACGGACTCCTTTCTCACAACTCTTTCAAAACCTGTTGAAGTTTGACATCTTTCAGACATCAGTCCTCTCTGAATTCAACCCAAACAGATGTCGGGCCCCTTTGGATGAACCCCAGAAACCCTTTGAGCTGCGTTTTGAGAGGAATTAGCGTCTTTAATCAACACTATTTCATCTTATTAAAAGAGATGAAATAGTGTTGCAAGATTTTCAGTTCCTGGAGATGAAAAAGCATCAGCATCTTCACACAGTTTGCACACAATGCTGCTTTAATTCATTTGAATAAGTGATCCTGTATGTTTTCTACCATTTCTAACAACATTTGCTATTCAGGTACCTATAAGCATGTTAAGATGCCACACTTTATGAGCTCTAACCTCAGGTTTAAATGGATCTGAGCAACAGAGTGTCCCCCAGGAAGTCAGATCTGAAAAATCCTCTTTACGACTCATGGCTCAGAGTCTCCCGGGGAGTGTCTTCGGTGGTTTTCCACCGTCGGCCTCAAGAGACTTTTTACAGATTTGTCAAAACAAGCTCAATCACGACGTCTGTACTCTCACTGTGACCGTGTCTTTTCTTAGCTCCTTTTAACTCAACCTCACCGTTTTGCTCCGTTGCTCAAATTCTAACTAGATTTTTTGATCTGAATAACCGACCAGGGAGCAGGACAACAGAGAGAGAGAGAGAAAAACAACTTTCAATTATATTTGTGTAGCCTTGAGTATGGAGTTCCGCAGAGCCCTATTCTCGGCCCTATACTTTGAGTGCTTTATTTGCATCTCCTATACATCATGTTTTAAGATGATTAATTTATTGTTACTGTGCTAGAATCACAGCATGTTTAACTGTTTTTACTTCCCAGCCCCTTGGTTTTTATTTTATTCTGAATGTTTTCTGTCAATTCCTTTAGCAATGCATTGAAATCTGTCATAAATCATATGCCATGTGTGTTGCTATGCGTCTAAATTGTAATTTAAAAAAAAATCTCTTTCATCAACCTTCTAGGGGACTTACAAATAAAAATGAATCTAAATCTGAACCCAAATCGGCTTTTAGCTGCTTTTAAACCCCGGCGTGCTGCAAAAGTCTCAGTCTTATGGAACAATTGGAAAAGTTTGCCGTCCTTGTTGTCGGGTCATTTCCTCTAATTTTTATTTTTTTTATTTTTTTCCAATCAGAAAACAAACAAAAAACAAATGTTCTTTTTTGCGCTAGCTCAGCCTCAAAGACTGAACTCCATTCACATTTTGCACACATTAAGCCAACAATGTGAGATTTAGCTCCAGTGGTGATTTCCCGTTTAAACCAAACATTAAAAGAAAAGGGTTGCTCGTGTTCAGATTGCTCATAAAAAAAAAAAAAAAAGGCCGCCGGGGGGTCAGCGGGTCAAAATCTCGTCGCAGCAGGTTCATCCATCTGGAAAGACGCCATCTGCCCTGTTATCTGCACGCAGCTCAAAATCAAATATGAGAGCAAGGATCAGGCTGCATCCCCTCTTCGTTTTAGGGTCTCTCACTTTGTGAAATGATTTGAAAGAATAAATAGACTTAGGCGTATGGTCGGGGTGATGTGCACACGTGTGCATAGACCATTAAGGCCGAGCAACATGAAGTCATAAACGCCACAACGTGAAAGGAGCGCGTGTCATGGCCAATGAAGGCGCTCAAGCAGGAGAGAAATAAAAATGAAAACCACATCAGAGGAAGTGGAGAGAAACTGATGTGAGCAAGTCGTCTTCCTCCAAGGTGCCAAACTTTTATTTTTTTTAATTTAAATTTTTATTTTGAGAGAGCAACATCTTGACCTGTTTGTTTAGCTGGCACCAAATTCAACATGAAGGTTACTTAAAAAAAAAAAAACACTAATTAGATATGTACACTGTTTCTTGAATTAGCTACATTTTCTTTGGACCTTTCCAAAACAGAACTTGTGTGAAAACTTTTTTTTGATGTTTTTCTCCAGGTTTTGCGACACGGAAATGCATGAGGCTCATCCAAAATGCTCATGAAATACATGATGTCATCATGTTTAAGTGTCTGTAATAAAAATACAGCTCTTCCTTTTTTTTTGCCTGGTTTATGTTACAGTATGAGTGGAATAGAAATCAACGTTTCCTCTTCCAAGCAGCCCTCGCTTTTGCCATGAGCCATCACTTGGACCTGGAATTTGAGTGAGAAAACACCCACATGCTTGTCTTTTTAGATAATGCGAGTCGTGGTTTGTGAAGGTGACGTGGCGTTTGCTGTCTTGTGTCCAGCGTGTCAAACATCCTCGTGTGTGATGAGACTCCCAGAGTGTCCTTTTGGTTTGTGGTCACGTCGCCTGACGACCCCTCCCGTCTGGTCGGCAAAAAGAGCGTAGAGTCGGCGGTCAGGTAATCACAAAACCACACGATTTAGAGATGTAGTTGGTTGGTTTTAAAGAAACAGACGCGAAGGAGAAACACCTGAACCCTTCAAGGGAAACACTGACACCTGAGGCAGTAGTTTACCTTTCCAGTAACTGTCTTTCAGTCTGGCCTGATGCTTCAGCGCAACCGGACAGATTTCCTGGATGCCCTTAGAACCATACAGTCTACAAAAAGCTAATGACAGAATTCTGAGGTTCCCAAACCAGGCACTCTTTTCTCAACAATGACAACTTCAGCTCCTGTCCATAAACACCACAAACACAATTGCTGAGCATCAGCATCTCAGGCAGGAAGGAACCAACCTGCACAGGAAACAAGCTCAACTTTTTACTGAGATTATGGAACATCTTTAGCCCTGGGTCTAAGGATGAGGCAGTCCTTAATAGGAACCTAGGTACCACATTTGGCAATCCTTCTCAAAATACCTTGAGGGACATTTTTGTACGTCTTCTCCAGATCCACAAAAAAGACCTGGCTTGAACAATCAAGCCAGGATCCCCTCAGTAATTCATTGACAGCAAAGATCTGGTCTACTGTTCCATGACTGTAAGCTAGACTGCTCTTCTGGAGTGAAAAGTTTGTCTTAACCATTGTAGTTTGTCTTTTCCCAAGTCCTCAAACTCTAGCCCCACCACAGAGGCCATTGCGACATTGTGACTCCATCCATTGGTCAACGATATCCTTTGACTTCCAAGAATATTTCATAAATCCACAGAAATGAGCATCTTACTTTGAAGAGAGCCTGGAAATTTGAAGAACCCGAGGATTGATTGGACAGTATTTCTGCTCTGCTCAGTAGAGCATAATGTTTGCCTTGGGAGACCTATGACCTTTTCAGTTTGCTACAGCTATCCATAATGTCATCACTTTGTGCGGAAAAAGTATCCATTGGAACTCCTTCTGTTCTTTGTCCAATAGAGAGTCCAGGAGCCGCATCAACAACATCCTCCTGCTCAATGACGCGACTCTGGAGTTTGTTGGCGTCCTGCCCACCCTGGCATCCCCCGCTAAACCTGCCACCCCTTCGTGGCTCATTGTGTTTGGGGTGGTGATTGGCATGATTGGTGCCGGCATCGTCTTTCTGATCGTGTCCATGGTGGTCCAAAAGAAACGGTATGTTGCCGAGTGTGGATGGATCGGTGCCGATCGGTGCCGATCGTTGCGATTAAGTCCGATAACTTGAGCCTGATCCCGTTTGGTCTCCGCTCCAGCAAGGAGAAGGAGGCGGGAGAGGAGGAGGAGGAGGACGACGAAGAGGCGCAGATGAAGGGGACAGCTAGGAATGAAGGCATTTACAACACTTCGTTCTCAGAAGATGATCGAAACACACAAATGTAAAAAAACATAAAAATAAAATCTTGTGATGTAAGTCTTCCATGTAAACAGATGTAATGGGAAAATAATGTTTGGCTGCTTTGTTCAAAACCATGTTGGAAAAAGTAATGTTTGAATAATGTGGAAAATCGTAATATATGACTACGGAGTTGATCTTTATGCTTTTATTTTTGTTCTCAGATCCTAAAAGCATGTACTTTTGTTTCTGCCAATCCCGGCACATGAAGCACTCTTTCATTTCCACGCCTGTTCTTCATTCAAAACATGTCGTTTTTTTGTGTGATGTCTGACTTTAAATAAAAAACTTCTGTAATAAATTAAGGATGTAGGGTTAATTACGCAGTGTCTGTTATTACCAAAAGTTCCCTATATGCACACAGCAAAAACCATAATCTCAGAAAAGTAAATCTTACGAAATATTTTTTTCATTGAGTTCCTACTGCAACGATTTAATTGCAATACTCTTACAAGCGACGTTTGTTAAGAATTAAAAAGAGGAATAACTTGATTTAGCTCGTTAATTAATTCTTTGTCCCGAATTCCTGTGTCTGTGTAAATGTGCAGAGAGAAAAGAGCAATCATACGACGTCAGACTTCAGATATTCAGAGTTTTATCCAGAGAAATTCAATCCAAGAAGAACTTTACAATAAGCATCTCACCTAGAGCAAAAGACCAAGACATTACAAAACAGAGACAAAGAACTGAGTAAAAAAAGACAAAAGAATAACAGAAGATGCATCCTCCGGGAAACTCTCACTCAGTACAAAGAGATTCCAACTTCTGCTGTGAAACAACCATTTTTTATAGACTGCGTATTCTCCTCATTTAAATATATGCATTAGGAGGTGTGTTCTTTTCCTGTGTGGGCTGTCTTAATGTTAATTTTATCACCTCCTGCTAAAGAGCCCCAAAAGCAGATATACGGCAAATCCTTCTCGTATCAGCCGCTGTCCAGTTTGATATATGATCCAGCTGCAGCGCTATCTCTGCCTCAAAATGTTTTCACAAGAAAGTAGTTTGTATTTTTTTAACCAAGCTTGCACACAATGTAATGCTAAATAATGACTATAAGTTTGGATCTAATAAGTAACTAATTAAAAACATGCTTAAAGAAATATAGATTCTAATATAGATAAAATTATTTATAAAAGTTTTAAGATTCTAGTGAACTTTTGAACCATGCTCAGGAATTTGTTAATTGCCTGGCAGACAGACTCCCTATCTAAAGAGATCCAAGGAGTCTAAGAGTGTTTTCTGATTAGGAATTTCTGTAAGTTCTGAGAGTCACCAGGTGTCCAGTTTGGATCTGTATCTAAGTTTATCTTAACCTAAAAGTTAACTTATGTACTATTGTGCTACTTTAAAATTCTTATTTCAACACGTTTCAGCAAAATATAGCAGCTTGTTTTCAGGACTTATTGAATTAATACTGATAAAAATACACGCTCCGCTGGCAGCATGTTTTGACTTCTAAATATTAGAAGTAATAACCTGCCAGTGAAACTTTATCAATATTAAGAAACGACTGCCTCTAAACAGGCTTCTCTGTTTTACTGTAAAGTCATTTGTAAGTTAGTTATTTCAAAGCTATTTGCGTGAGACACGAGACCAGCTGCTTTCACTGAATTACATTTAGAGGCATTCAAGTGTCAGAGGGTGTACACAGAGTGTACACCACACTTTTCAGAGTTTTATTTGGGGGAGAAAATAATTTTTAAAAAGTGTCATTTTACTTCCACTTCAGAATTGTGCTTTACTTTTTTGTTGCTCTGTCACATAAAGTCACATGTTCAAGACAAAGCAAGTGTTTGTGGTTGTCAAATGATTTAGCTATTTTTTAAAGGGTTCAATTATTTAGTTAATGTTTTTAAAGTGAAAACGTCGAGGGGGTATTAAGACAAATCGCAACATCAGAGAGAGTCCAAGGAAGTACAGTAAAAAACCTGACATATGTCTTCAACTACACTGCCCCCTTCTGGTGGTTTGTGATACAGCAGCATCAGCAGAGAGAAACCATTCCAACATTTAAAAACTGAACACAGCTCAGTTTTTAATACCACTACCATTACATGCTATTAGCATTTCACTTTGTTTTTGATTTATTGGTTATGTTTAACCAATAGCATAACCAATAATGCGTATGTAAATGTGCATTTGTATGCACATTTACATGACGAGGATGGACAAAGACCCGCCTTCTGACCAGAAACCTCCTTTGGCCGGGAGTGATGCCTCAGAGGAGCTGGAATTTTTTTCACAGATTATCTGTCTCATGTTATACTGTCAGGATATAGAGACAATTTGAACAGCTATGTTGAAAACATTTTTTTTTTTAAAATAAAAGTTGCATACTGCAGCTTTAAGGAGGAGATGATCCAGAATGGAGCCACCAGCTTGCTACTGGTGGAGAGGAGCTAACTTATGGTCATGCTGTACCAGGAATATAAGTCGATGTGAATCTATTCATAAAAACACAGAGAAACATTTCCATCTTTTTCTTGGTGTCTAAATATCTGTTTCAACTGTGTTTTTTATGTTTTTTTATTCAGGTGACCATGTTTCAAGTTTTTGTGACTTCAAACTCTGGGGACAATTCAAGTGTTCTTCTGTTTTTCATGTGGGAAAAAACGTGCAGCTCTTGGCTCAAGGTGGAGACACCAGTAGATGGTACTTGAAGCCACTTTCTGGACTCGCTCTCAGAAGAGGATCTGATGAGGACGAACTTTCATGACGGCTGCCGTCATCCAGAAGTTTTGGATTTCTTGCCAACAATTTCACGGAGTTCAAATGAGCCTTCGTTCTTTCAGAGGACAAATTTGAAAAAATATCAGTTTTATGGAAATCAATGATGCCATTCCAGACTGTTTGTTTTTCCTGCTGAAATTTTCCTTCATTGGCTGTAATTTTGGTTTGTCGTTCATCCCGGTTCTGGATGATCTGAAGCAGAGACGCGTCTTCAGTGGCAGCGGATGCGTCGAGTGCGGTTTGTGTTGGTGAGTCTGCTGCAATGTAAGGTTCAGGAAAGAAAGATGGACTCCAAATACCATCAGACCTGTTAAACAGTGTCACTGGTAAACATCCAGCACCACCTACCTAACAAGGTTTTTTTGTCCTTGTTTTTCTCATTTATTTAATTAACATCTTGCCTGTCTGGCAGCTTTCAAAAATAATTTGTCAAAACAAAACAAACAAACAAAAATGAAAAAATAAAATAAATCAGCCACACGTTAACAGTATGACACTTTTTATTGTAACAATTTCTGATGACAAACATTTTCATTTCTAATATTTACATGTAAATACAATTAAGCATCACAACAGTTTTTAACAATAGTCATAGCAGTTGGTAGTGAGAGTTGAATGAAGAAATGGAAATATAAACTAAACTGTGTGTCCTGTGCATATTTTACTCCTGGTTTGGCTGTGGGTTCCCAGACTCCCAGGAGGAATTGGGACAGTTTAAGACCGAGTCCAAAAGCAGTCAATGTGGCCGTGACCGCCTTCAGGGACAGTTTGAGGACGTCCAGAGACAGTGGCCTAGTGCATCCACTGACTTGGGAATCCTATGTGGAAACTCCAGAAGGCTGAAAGGCATGGTGGACTTGGAAATAAATGAGTCTAAAATTTAAAGGTGTGTGTCAAACAACCACAACGAAGCAGAGTCAGAACTTTGACAGAGGAGGTTTCACAAGTTGACATCTGCCTGCACAGGCCGACATCCACATCTGTGTTTTGTGATTCTGTATTTGAAGTCAATAAAGTCCAAAGAGGTTTGTATCCAAAGTCCGTGTCTTTTTTGGAACTGATCGTTTTGGTGTTTTGACAGTGTTTGAACAGGAAACGAGGAACAGTCTGTCTAAAGGAGAATCCTAGCAGTCTGGTTTCTTCTTATCGTCCAGTGCTGCCCTGTTCACTGAGCTGAACTTCAGAGATTTCCTCCCACATTTCTGACGTCAGCTTTTTCCTCACTTATGCACATAAAGGGCCTGAACACAGAAGCACGAAGCTCCAGGGCTGAAAGGTCATCCTTGAATCTAGAAAACATTTAGAACAAACCACCACTTTAATGATGCTACAAAGAGCATGTTATCAAATGAATGTGTTTTACAGTCACACAGAAACATTAATATCTTTAATCTTGTTTTTGTTTAGCACAGGTAATATTGCATTTTCTCCAGTTAGTCAAGCACTTGAATCAGTTTCTTCCTCCTTATTTGTCTGTTGGTTTCTGGCCATTCTTACCCTACATTCACTTGTTTCAATTGCAACCAAATAGTAACTAAATTAACATAGTTGGTGAATATTAGTTTGTTATTGAAGGACCTACTACACATGATCTCTGTCTCTTTATGCTGTGTCTTGTCCTGTTCCATCAGGAAGCATCTTCTCTGGATTTCCAGCAGGATTTCCTGCGTCTCCGCTGTCCTCATTGGTCCAGTGTTGTTGTCTTGTCTCAGTGACGCTGGAGAATCAACACATCATCAGACACGTTCAGTCTAAATAACAGATGATTGAATCAGACTCTCATCAAGTCATCATGTCCTCACCTTTTCCACAATCTGTTACAACAGCAGGTGGAGCCAGTCTCCTGCTTTAATTGTTGGTCAACTCAAGTCATGTGACATGAGTTGACAGAGAAATGAAAAAAGAGAAAAGACAACAGAGTTAAAGAGGAAAATATGCATGGACAGCAGACAGATCCAGTTTCTAACTTTCAGCTCAGCTCTTCGCAGCTCAATCTGAAATGCTTAGTTATGTTGTGTAGCTATAAATGTCCTTACTTTTTTTCGTCGACTGGGTTCTCTTATCTTCCTCCACCTGACTGGTGGAGGATTCAGGGCTCAGGAGATCCAACCTGGGATGATCAGGAGATCAGAGAAGTCTGGACCTGGGATCAGAGACTAGTGTCTGTATTTTTCTTATGTCTATCCTCTTTTAGTGATCTTTCTGTATTACAACACATGAATATGGCCTATTTGTTTTATGAGATTAATAGTTTATCTTTACTGTTTCCTTCCCTCCGATCCTCTTCTCTAGTTTCCCTCTGGATAAAAGCTCTTAACTAAATCCCTCAATCATAAATTCTGTCTATTCTGTTCTCCTCTGTCTTTGAATTTCTTATTGGCTTGTTCCTCCATTAGAAAGTGTTCCTCCTGGAGGAACACTTTCTACTAATAGTGAATTTCTTTCTATGTATATTTAGTAGAGCTGATGGTCCCCAATGCCAGCAGGAGCCAAGCAGTGTTATGTGTTGAGGAATGCAAAAACTTACAAGCAGGAACCAGGAGGACAGGAACCACATGGACAACCACGAAAGAACCCAGTGATGAGCGGCTGAAACCTGAAACATTAAAACTGGGAGAGTGGATTAATGGAGGAACGGACCAAGCCTTAACTAAACATTTGTCTCTGTCGTTTTCTTTTATCCTGAGAGATTTTAATTTGTACTTTGTGGGGTTGTTTTAATTCTTCTACATTTTAATGTGTCCACCATGACATCATATTAGTCCTAAACGATTTTAATTTCTCACTACTTGAAAGATTTCGTTTGTCAGCAGATGCGTTGTCTCCATCCTTAGAGATGAATTTGTCCCAAAAAGCGTCGTCTCTTCTCAGTCCTAAGAGATTTTAGGTTTGACTCCCAGCAGCACTACTTACCTTTAAAACCATTATTACCTGAGTTCAAATGTTTTGCTCAATGACATTTTAACATTTGGACTTGAAGGTCTTGGAATCCAGCCACCAAATGATTGATCGGTGGATCAACAGTTCATATCTGGGACCCAAAGGTCCTGCCTATTTCTCTCTTCCTCTTGACATCTTTGAACATTTGAATGAACTCCCGTTGTTACAGTCGCTGCAGTTACTATTTCATATGTAAAATCGCATCACTCCATGTGGATTTTATCATGTCCAGACTAGAAGGGTTAGAACTTTAAAACCGCTGTTTTAATTTGTTTATACCAGAGCTCTACCGATTAGATTGTGTCTCCATTTGTGGTTTTTTCATGTCTTCAAAATTAGAACTGTCAGAAACATTGTTTAAATTTTAAAGAGTTTAATTTGCAGCAGTGTTGTCTCAATTTTATTGATTCTAGTGTCCCGAACCGCGTTGTCTTAATCGTTTTGAGGTTTGATTTTTACCCTGGAAGATTATTTTAGATTTAGTATTAATCCTGTAGCGTTGTCTCATTCCTTTTAGCATTTATCTTCTACCCACCAGCCGTCTCCGACTCCTTTCAGTGTTTTATGTTCAGCAGTGTGGTTTTGTTTGTCATACATTTAAATTAGCCTTCTCCAGCATTTAGTCATTCATTGATTAACAGTAAAAAAGTCAGCATTGCCTGTCCAGCCAGAAACCTGAACATCTATAATGAAAAATCTAGCAGCGGGATAAAGAAAAGCCCCGGTGCAAGACGCTACCTAAGGCATCCTCGGTCCTGCTAGCATCCTTAACATCTAAAATGAAGAAACTAGCAGTGGGATAAAGAAAAGCCCTGGCGCAAAGGGCCTAAGGCATCCTCGGTCCTGCTAGAATCCTGAATATCTAAAATGAAAAAACTAGCAGCGGGATAAAGTAAAGCCCCGGTGCAAGACGCTACCTAAGGCATCCTCGATCCTGCTAGAAAGCTATTGGCTTTAACAAAAACAACAGATAAATTAAGTCCTAATGGGACTTCTCAAGTAGGACTTCAGTTTTTCAAGATCTCAATCTAATCAGTGTCACTTGATATGGTGTAGAAAGGTCTAAACCATGGTTGTCTGAAACTCTCTCCTTTTCTAATTCCGTTTGGTCCAATCCCAAATGTTGACTGTATTGGTTCCTCTTCTTTGTCCTCTTCAGACTCCATCAGGATACAGTCGTCAGAGGATGACAAACTTGAGTCTTTGCCATGAGCTGATGGTGAGGGACCAAGGACAGAGTAAGACAGAATGGGATCGTCAAATGGCAATGTAGGTGAAAGACTGAAGACACAGGTTAGAAAAACTGGATCCTCAAAAATTGGATCCTATGGTGAGGGATTTAAGACAGTGGACACCAGAAAAGGATCCTCATCCAATATATATTGTGATGGACTAATGTCAGGGGATAACCAAACAAAATCCTCACGAGCCATTCCACAAGAGGGAATGAGGACAGGGGATGACAAAACGGGATCTTCTTCAGCAACACTGTGCCTAATCTTCTTGACAGGGGGATCCTCTTCAGCCTCACTAACCTTGGTCATCTTTCTGCAGGTCGCAGAAGTCACATGACCCGCTTCCTCTTTCAAATCTAGCCTTTGTGGGGGACTGATGGCAGGGAATAACAGAATGTGATGTTCAAATGGTATTGGTGAAGAACTGAAGACAGAGGGTGGCAAAATCGGATCCTCCAAAATTGAATCCAATGGTGAGGGACTTAAGACAGGGGAGGACAGAAAAGGATCCTCATCTGAGGGACTGATGACAGGGGATGACCAAATAAGATCATCATACGCCATGAGGATCTTGGCGCATGATGTCATTCCCGTTTTGACAGGGGATGACAAAAGGGGATCCTCTTCACCAAGAGGTCTTCTTGGCCTGGTCTTCTTGGTGGGGACTTCTTCTTCAGAATCCCTGCCATTTGTCCTGTTTCTGCCAGTCTCAGATGTCACATGACCCGGGTCCTCTTCCAAACCTACCTGGTAAGGCTGGGAGATCCCAATATATCTAGAGTCCAGTGGACACAAAATGGTCTCTTCCCACTTGTCATATTCATGTATGAATTCAAGTGAAATCAAGGGAGAAATGCCATCTTGAGGCTTCAGAGCCATCCCAATGTCACATGTGAATGTCAGTTCTGGAGGAAGAACTTCAAGCAGCTGTAGCACAGCACAAGAACGGTCCACTGTAAGACTGGAGCTGGTAGTACAGTCATTACCAACCTCGTCCTCACTGGAGCTGCTAGTACCACTGCCACTGGAGCTGCTGGTACTGTTATTACCAACATCACCTTCACTGGAGCTGGTAGTACTACTCACTGAGATTGGAGGTGAAGTCCAGCGTGACTCCTCTCCCTTGTCTTCAGAAACTGATGGTGGGTGAAATGTGAGTGAAATGTTGTCTGACATCAGTAGGAAAACAATCACACCTTATCGAGACCCTTACCATTGTCTGGATGTCCCTCCAGCACTTGGGACCCATCTGCCGGAAGCACAACTTTATGAGCTGTGAAGGGGAAAAAAAAGAAAACAACTATGGTTCAGTATCGAGACCTTCACAAAAAATCTAAGAAATATTTAGAGAGAAGACTGAAGTGCCAAAACTACATTAACCCAGGTTTGAGAATGTCTTTGTTTTTCTTTACTAGATTTAATTAACACTATTATTGCTATACTAGATGCGATAACACAATCAGAACATGAATTTAAAGAATAGAATAAATAAAGCTAATCTTTAGTAACAACAAAACAACACATTTTCACATAAAAACAAGAACACATTAAAACTTGATGATCAAACATGTATGGACAATCACCACTCACAGAAACACACTTGCAGCTTGACCTTTGGTATCAATCAATCATTAAAAACAGCAAATCAAATTTTGACTTGTTTAATCCTAAACTCTTCAACATATATTGAAGAGCTGTAGGTTGTGTTGAGGACTTTTTAATAACTAATAAAACACGTTCAATCTTCGATTGTACCATTATTGTGAATAAAATAAAAACACTTAAACAAGTTACTCAATTTGCCCTCCTGTAACAACCCATACTAACAAATCTTTGATGCTGCTGAACAGGGATGTTTGATCTTTCTTAATAACCAAAATAAGACACGCGATACGTTCATTACTATTAAACTTAAATTGTTACTTATGTAACTTTAATACTTTAAAAGTATTACAAATGTTTCAAAAATATGTTTCCATTAGCTTTTTTTAAATGACTAAAATGTTAATTAATAGTGGTTAATCAAATGAAATTCCTTTGAACTCAACAACTTTTCAGAATCATATTTGTCCACAAATTTCAGTAAGCTAGCACATAAATCACAAAACAATTTAAATTAACTCTCAAATTTATCTCACCCCACAAACTCAAGAGACTTATTAAAACTATGTAATTCAAAGAAGTCATCAAAATGTCGAACAATTGGACACGAAAGTCATCAGAGCTGGCACTCTCAGACTAAAATAAATGTTCACATGAATTCACCCATGTTAGCATTTATGCCAAAAACACAGATCAGCATGTCCCTTTCTTGAAACGATAACGAAACTGAACAGTATAGGCTACTGTAGGGGGGATGTACAATTTTCAAATGTTTTAAAAGAAATTAAATTAAATTAAATATTTTGACGTATTTCTTTTAATGTATCCATGGAAACTGAATGTTTGTCACGGATTTGTTTCGAAAAATACGTTTTTGTTTGTTTTTAAATAAAATCTATCATTTAACCCATTTCATTTAGCGTATCCATGGAAACTGATGGCTTATCACGCACTTTTCGAAAAATACTCTGGTTTTCCAAGAATTTAGTTGACATTAATTGAACTAATTTGACCATAATCGACTAAAAACGTAGATTTCCTAAATCTCTACACCACAGTTGAACATTCATGACATTTACAGCGGAATTTAGTCAAGTAAAAAGAAAAAGGCTCATTAGACAGGAAAGATTTATGCTAGCAAGGATTTATGCTAGCAAAGTATGCTAATTGACTTTTTTTTCTGTACAGCAGTCGGAATTTCTTTAAAAACAGGCACGAACACAAAATAAACTGAACAAGTCACTAATATCTTAGCAATAACTTGCTATCGCCTGTTAAAAATAGCAGAAGAATGACATTAACCTTCCGGCTGGTCGCCGTGCTGGTGCTTGTCCTGACCAGGATCCATCTTTTGTTAGGTCTTTCAAACGCAGGCGACGTCGGCAAGCGCTTCTTCGGCGAGTTTTGCAAAGCAGACTTTCTTAACAAGCTCAAACCTTCCGGGGCTCTTAAGGCTCTTTTCAGGCGTCTCTCTCTAAAAGTCCAGTTGCAAAGGGGAAGAATTCCGACGGTCACGGCGATTTATAGCGTTACCGACGCTAACGTCGTTTCCATGACTACCACACGCATGAACGCACGCGCTGGTGCGTGGGAAATATGAAAGTATGGAGATGTCTCGTTTATCACTCCTTATGCTGCCACCTAGTGGCCGAACTAGTTTGCGTGAACAATGAAATCTTAAAAACTCACGTTACTGGAGCGATATTACAGTTCTACTTTCATTCATCTGTTTAATTAGAACAAAGCACGTACAGTTATTATATCGACACATGAGGTTTTAGTTTGTAGGTTCTGATTCATTTTTAAAGTTAGACAGTATGAAGCTACATGTGGTTTAGACACATGTGGTTTCAACTTGAACATTTGAAATAAAAGTAAAAAAACGTCTCACAATAGATAACTGACTTCAAACACACATTTATGAAATACAACTTTTTTGTTGTTGGTCTGATTCCATGTTATTGAACATGACTGTTTAAACATACTCCTGCATATGAAATCCATTGAAATGAATTCAGTCGCACAGACTTGAAAAATAGCTCTTTGTAAGTGTAGTATCAGGTTCTTGTCAGTATGTGGCAGCATAAAGGAGCTTCTGTGTCACATTTCTGATTTAAAATGTTTTTATTATACATTGAAAGTTTAATATAAACGTTTTACATATATTAAAAAAAAAACGTTAGTAAATGTGTAAAAAACATAAAACTTAATAACTAATTAAAAAGACTTGAAAAAAATTATACTGCGCTTCACTCGGGTCAACTAAGGAACTGAATAAATAGTAATGGAAAAAAGGAAATGAATCAGAAAGAATTTACTCTAATTTGCTATCACTCTTAGTTACCAAGGTAATCAAACAGTTTTGTCATCATCAGTGTTTTTCCAGACTGATCTGAGCTGATCATTCATCTCTTCCTGCATCTTAACGTTGATTTATTTCCACTCTTTGGATGTTTCTTCAGCAGGAGTTCAGACTAAACCACAGGTGTCAAACTCCAGTCCTCAAGGTGACCTGCAGTGTTTAGATGAGCCACAGGTACAAACCACTGCAATGAAATCACCATAATTAGCTCCTCCTTGTGTGGATCAGATCTGCAGAGCCTTAATGACATAATTACTCTATTCAGGTGGTGCAGCAGAGGCTCAGCTAAAGGTTTCAGGGCATCAGCCCTCCAGGACTTTAAAAGAAGAGACTCAGCAGAAAATTTAAAGCCAAACTAATAATCACTTCCAGTTTCTTCAGCACGGCAACAGTGAAACATGTGAAAAATAAAAACAGAGCAAATGTCTGGCTTTACTTTTCCTCTTGAAGACTGTTTTGTAGTTTAGTTAAATATTTCCGTGTTTTCAGTAAAAATGTCTTCAGTTCAGCCTCAGAGAGAGTTTATCAAGCAGCAAGAAACTCCTGCTGAAGAAACATTCACAGAGTGGAAAGAAATCAACGTTAAGATGGAGGAAGAGATGGACGATCAGCGCAGACTGATGGATTTTACCCGGATACCCAATCATCTTGCAGCACCGGATAGGTACGAAACAGCTGCAGTAGCTGTCATTATTTTAATTGATTGTATACATTGATATTAATTTAATTGGTGAATCAATAAAACCAGAGCACACAGAGCATGCTCCTTGCTCTGTGATAGTTCTGTGCTGCCTGGCTTCATGCAGCAGGAGAAAAAGTGAGAACTGTCACAGTGTTTGGTTATTTCTGCTTGTTGCTCCTTGGTCTGTGTTCATGATGGAGCGTTGTTTACCACTAGTGCATTGCTTTAATTGCTATGTTTAATAGTGCAGACAATGGTGGCTTCTGACATGAGAAATATGGGCAACCGCCCAGGGTGTTATCTTTGAGGGATGCCATGAGATTTCCATGGATTGTAGCACAGAGCAAAGTAGAACAAAGAGTTTGAATTGATAATATTGGTTAGATTGGTTTGTTTTTATGGGAATGTGGATCTTTCAGACCAATTTGATTAGCACTTTTTCTAATATTTCACATTTTATTGTCATGTGGTGGCTGGTCTTGGTCTCTGCTTAGGTGGTCTTGACTATAACACTATGTAAAGCTATTTAAAGGGCCGTTTCATTTAACTAAAAAGAAATGTCATAATACTAATGGTCAGATATTGACTTAGCAAGCAGAGTTAATAGAGACGGTTCAGTTTAAATATTTAGTACTTTACTGTAAGTTACAGTGTGGGATCATTATTTGATAAGCGCCATCATATTCTGTGTCTATAAGAATAGCAAAGTATGATGTAAACCTGCAACAGCGCCTCCTACAGTCACAATGTGCAGTGGTCACAGAATATGGTGTAACGTCCCTGTTGGCGAGAAGCTAATCTTGAAGGGAGTTAACGTCAGCTAGCCAGACTGCATATTTCCAAATGTTGGCACATTTGACGGCACTAAAGTTTAATTGCCGGTAAATTTATTAACCACATGCAGACATTGTTTATTCTAAATAAGGTAAATAACAATCTCTCTGAAAGACGATGGAAGAGATTTCATTTTGTAATGTTTGCTGATGGATATATTTACATTTTCCCCTCCTGGGGGTTTCTGTGGGCTCTAGTGTCCCTTATATGAAAGAAGGCTGACAGGAATGTAGAAAGGAAAGACATGCGGCAAATATCGTCAGGTCTGGGAATCAAACCCATGACGTCCGTGTGGAGGATTGAAGGTTGCGTTACTACAGCACGTCCCCTGATGAAGAATATTTTCATTTTAGTTTTTGTTAAACTGAATGGTTCATTGTGTGACCTCACATTTTGACTTTTTTTGTCCAGATCTCCCACAATGCAGTGTGTGCAAAGAGGAGGAGGATCTAAATGAGCTCAGAAACCCAGAGAGACACTTCACTTCAGATCAAGATCATCCAGAACCTCTGCAGATAAAATTGGAACAAGAGGAACCAGAACCTCTGCAGATGAAACGGGAACAAGAGGATCCAGAACCTCTGCAGATGAAACTGGAACAAGAGGAACCAGAACCTCTGCAGATGAAACTGGAACAAGAGGAACCAGAACCTCTGCAGATCAAAGAGGAAGAGGAGCAACTTTGCATCAGTCAGGATGAAGAGCATCTTGTGATGAAACAGGAAACTGATGACATTTTGAACAAACAGCCGAAAAACTCACAGAGACTTCAGAACAAAACGCACATGAAAGCTCAACCAGACCAAAATCTCTATGCCTGTCAAATTTGTGATAAAACCTTTTCTAGAAATAATACCTTGATGAATCACATGAAAAGTCACACGGCTAAGAAACTTTTCAAATGTTCCACCTGTGGAAAACTTTACCCTCACAAGAGTCGTTTAATTGATCACATGAGAATTCATACAGGTGAAAAACCGTTCACTTGTGCAGCTTGTGGAAAACGTTTCCATCTAAACAGCAATTTAAACAGACACAAGAGAATTTTCTTTGGTGAGAAATCTTACACATGCACAATCTGTGGAAAAAATTTTGTGTCTAAATGTCAGTTACTTGCTCATATGACGATTCATACAGGTGAGAAACCTTTCTCTTGTGAAACTTGTGGAAAATGTTTTCAGAGGAAATATCAGTTAGTTAATCACATCAGAGTTCACACCGGTGAGAACCTTTCTCATGTGAGACCTGTGGAAAAAGTTTCACTCAAAAGCAAAGTTTAACTGTTCACATGAGATTTCACACGGGTGAAAGGTTATCACTTGTGGCACTTGTGGAAGAAATTGTTTGAATAAATCTCATTTAGTTTCAACACATGAGATCTCACACAGGTGAGAAGTCTTCTCATGTGAGGCCTGTGGAAAAGTTTCACTTATAAACATAGTTTAAAACTTCACGTGAGAATTCACACTGGTGAGAAGCCTTTCTCATGTGAGATTTGTGGAAAAAGTTTCACTCATAAATCAGCTTAACTTCTCACATGGTAACTCATACAGGTGAAAGCCGTTCTTATGTGGAACTTGTGGGAAATGTTTCCCTTATAAAATAAGTTTAAATTCTCACATGAACTCACACAGGGGAGAAACCTTTCTCATGTGGGGCATGTGGGAAAAGTTTTGCTTTTAGGTCTCATTTACTAAATCACATGAGAACTCACACAAGTGAGAAGCCTTTCTCATGTGGGATTTGTGGGAAAAGTTTCCCTTATAAAAAAAGTTTTAAATCGTCACAGGAGAACTCATACAAGTGAGAAGCATTTCTCATGTGGGATTTGTGGAAAAGTTTCACTCATAAATCAGCTTAACTGCTCACATGATGACTCATACAGGTGAGAAGCCGTTCTTATGTGGAACTTGTGGGAAATGTTTCCCTTATAAAAGTAGTTTAAATTCTCACATGAGAACTCACACAGGGGAGAAACCTTTCTCATGTGGAGCATGTGGGAAAAGTTTTGCTTTGAGGTCTCATTTACTAAATCACATGAGAACTCACACAAGTGAGAAGCCTTTCTCATGTGTGATTTGTGGGAAAAGTTTCCCTTATAAAAAAAGTTTAAATCGTCACAGGAGATCTCACACAGGTGAGAAGCCTTTCTCATGTGTGATATGTGGAAAACGTTTCACTCAAAAACAGCACTTAACATCTCACAACAGAATACACACTGGTGAGAAGTAGCTTGCATTAATTTATCAGCTGGCTGATTAATAAATGTTGATTTTCTTAATTTTGGGACATTGGTGATCAGCAGATACATGCATGTGAAGCTGATCTGATTCCTCAATGTTATTGACCTCAGCCACTGTTCTGTTCTCTGCTGTGAGGTTTGACTATTAGACCACTCACCATGTCATGTCTGCACCCTTAGTGAAAAGCGAGGAAAATGTTTGTGTATAGATCCAGTTTAAGTCATCACATGAAGATTCACGTGGGTTGGAAGCTTTTATTTTGTAGATTCAGTAGAAAAAGGTTCACTCAAAACAAATGTAACTGTTCACATGAGAACTTGCACAGGTTTGATGGCACAATGTGAACCTCAAGATTCTCAGTAAGTTGCTGTTTGGAAGTGGAGTAATTGCAACTGCTTGGATTTTATTCTGGCAGTT